CAACTGCGGTCATGACATCAATCGCCTCAACCTCTCCACCCCACTCTCACACTCCAACCTCTCCCCCACAGAACGCACAGCCCTCCGCTCCCTCCGCTCCAATCCCAACCTCACCATAAAACTCGCGGACAAGGGAGGCACCATTGTAGTATGGCGCACTGACCTCTACATCACCGAGGCCAGGCACCAACTCTCCGATACCTCCACCTACCACCCCCTTGATCATGACCCCACCCCCAACTACCAAACCATCATCTCCCAAACCATCCACAACCTCATCGCTTCAGGTGACCTCCCACCCACAGCCTCCAACCTCATTGTTCCCCAACCCTGCACCACCCGCTTCTATCTCCTTCCCAAAATCCACTAACCAGACTGCCCTGGTTGACCCATTGTCTCCGCCTGCTCCTGCCCCACCGAACTTATCTCCACCTATCTCCACTCCATTTTCTCCCCCTTGGTCCAGGAACTACCTACCTACGTCGGTGACACCACCCACGCCCTCCACCTCCTCCAGAACTTCCAATTCCCCGATCCCCAACACCTCATCTTTACCATGGATGTCCAGTCCCTCTACACCAGCATTCCCCATACAGATGGCTTCTTCCTATCCCGCAGGCCCGATCAGTCCCCCTCCACTGACACCCTCATCCGCTTACCCGAACTTGTCCTCACCCTCAACAACTTCTCTTTCAATTCCTCCCACTTCCTACAGACAAAGGGGGTGGCCATGGGTACCCACATGGGCCCAAGCTACGCCTGCCTCTTTGTAGGTTACGTGAAACAATCCCTCTTCCGTACCTACACTGTTCCTAAACCCCACCTCTTCCTCCATTACATTGATGACTGTATCAGCGCTGCCTTGTGCTCCCACGAGGAGCTCGAACAGTTCATCCACTTCACCAACACCTTCCAACCCAACCTTAAGTTTACCTGGACCATCTCTAATGCCTCTCTCTCCTTCCTGGACCTCTCTGTCTCCATCTCGGGCAACCACCTAGAAACCGATATCCATTTCAAGCCCACCGACTCCCACAGCTACCTAGAATACACCTCCTCCCACCCACCTTCCTGCAAAAATGCCATCCCCTATTCCAATTCCTTCGCCTCAGCTGCATCTGCTCCCAGGATGAGGCATTCCACTCCCGTACATCTCAGTTGTCCTCGTTTTTCAAGGACCATAACTTCCCACCCCGTCAGTGGTCGAGAATGCCCTCAACCGTGTCTCCCACATTTCCCGCAACTCATCCCTCACACCCCGTCCACGCAATAAGAACCAAAAAAGAATCCCCCTCGTCCTCACATACCACCCCACCAACCTCCGGATCCAACGCATCATCCTCCGACACTTCCGCAATCTGCAATCCGACCCCACCACCAAAGAAATCTTTCCCTCCCCACCCTTATCTTCTTTCCGGAGGGACCACTCTCTCCGTAACTCCCTTGTCTGCTCCACACTTCCCTCCAGCCCCACCACACCCGGCACTTTTCCCTGCAACCGCAGGAAGTGCTACACCTGCCCCCATACCTCCTCCCTCACCCCCATCCCAGGCCCCAAGAAGACTTTCCACATCAAGCAGATGTTCACCTGCACATCTGCTAATGTGGTATACTGCATCCGCTGTTCCTGTTGTGGCCTCCTCTACATTGGGGAAACCAAGCAGAGGCTTGGGGGCCACTTTGCAGAACACCTACGCTCGGTTCGCAATAAACAACTGCACCTCCCAGTCGTGAACCATTTCAACTCCCCCTCCCATTCCGCAGACGACATGTCCATCCTGGGCCTCCTGCAGTGCCACAACGATGCTACCCGAAGGTTGCAGGAACAGCAACTCATATTCCGCTTGGGAACCCTGCAGCCCAATGGTATCAATGTGGACTTCACAAGCTTCAAAATCTCCCCTCCCCCTACCGCATCCCAAAACCAGCCCAGCTCGTCCCCGCCTCCCTAACCTATTCTTCCTCCCACCTATCCCCTCCTCCCACCTCAAGCCCCACCCCCATCTCCTACCTCCTAACCTCATCCCGCCCCCTTGACCTGTCCATCCTCCCTGGACTGACCTAACTCCTCCCTACCTCCCCACCTACACTCACCTTTACTGGCTCCATCCCTGCCTCTTTGACCTGTCTGTCTCCTCTCCATCTGTCTTCTCCTTTATCCATCTTCTATCCGCCTCCCACTCTCTTCCTATTTATTTCAGAACTCCCTTCCCCTCCCCCATTTCTGAAGAAGGGTCTAGGCCCGAAATGTCAGCCTTCCTGCTCCTCTGATGCTGCTTGGCCTGCTGTGTTCATCCAGCTCTACACCTTGTTATCTCAGATTCTCCAGCATCTGCAGTTCCTGCTATCTCAAAAACTAAACATGTTGGTTAGGGCAATGGCATGAGTGGATCTGGAGTATTCATGCAGTTTTATCATCTATGGTCAAGGATCGATATGTCTGTGTTGGAAATGTTGCAGCTAAGGGTCATTAGAATGATTCTTTGGATGCGGGGTGGTTGTTCTATGATTAAATGCTGAGCAAACTGGGCCTATGTTCTCTGGGGTTTAGAAGAATGAAGTTGATTTCATTGAAACTTTCAAGATTCTGAATGGAAGACTGTTTCTAGAAAATGGGAACAAAGCCTTAGGCTGAGCCATCAATCATTCCATCTGAGAAGAGCAAAAACCTTTTCAGGAAGATTGAGAGACTTTGGAACTCCCTCTAATGGAATGTTGCAACTGCTCCACGATTGAGTGTATTCAAGGCTGAAATAAATTGATGATAAACATAGAAGATCGGAGCAGGAGGCGGCCTTTCGAACCTGCTCCGCCATTCTTCACAATCAAGGCTGATCATCCAACTCAATAGGCTAATCCTGCTTTCTCCTGATAACTTTTGATACCATTTGCCCTAAGTGCTAGATCTAGCTGCCTCTTGAACACACTCAATGTTTTGGCATCAACTACTTCCGGTGGCAATGTATTCCACAGGCTCACCACTCTCTGGATGAAGAAATGTCTCCTCATCTCCATGCTAAATGGTCTAGCCTGAATCCTCATTCTGTGACCCCTGGTTCTGGACACACTCACCATTGGAAACATCCTCCCTGCATCTATCCTGTCCTGTCCTGTTAGAATTTCCTAAGTCTCTGAGATTCTCCTCTCATTTGTCCAAACTCTAGTGAAAACAATCCCAAACTAGTCAATCTCTCCTCATACATCAGACTCCCAACCCTGGAATCAGCCTGGTAAACCTTCACAGTACTCTCTTGAGAGCAAGAGCATCCTTTCTCAGAAAAGGAGACCAAAATTGCACACCATTTTCCAGGTGTGGTCTCATCAAGGCCATGTACAACTGCAACAACGCATCACTGCTCCTGTACTCAAAACCTCTCACAATGAAGGCCAACATACTATTTGCCTTCTTTACCGCCTGCTGCACCTGCATGCTTACCTTCAGTTACTGGCGCACAAGGACATTCAGGTTCCGCTGCACACTCCCCTCTCCCAATTTACAGCCATTCAGGTAGTAATCTGCCTTGTTTTTGCTTTTGAAGTGAATAACCTCACATTTATGCAAATTATACTGCATCTGCCATTGATTTGCCCACTCACCCAACTTGTCAAGATCATGCTGAAGGATCTCTGCATCCTCGTCACAGTTCAGCTCCCACCCAACTTGGTATCATCGGCAAATTGGAGATGTTACATTTTGTTCCCTCATCCAAATCATTAATTGGTCCCAGCACCAATCCCTGTGCCATCTCACTAGTTACTACCTGCCAATTTTAAAAGGAGCCTTTAATTCCTACTCTTTATTTACTCTCTGCCAACCAATTTCCTAGCCATCTCAATACATTTGCCCTAATCCCATGCGCTTTAATCTTGCACATTAATCTCTTATATGGGACTTTGTCAAACACTTTCTGAAAGTCCAAATATACTACATTGACTGGCTCCCCCTTGTCAACTCTACTAGTTGCATCTTCATAGGATTACAACAGATTTGTCAAGCATGATTTCCCCTTCATAAATCCATGCTGATTCTATCCGGTCCTACCACTGCTTTCTAAATGCTCTGCTATAAAATCCTTGACAATGGACTCAAGACTTTTCCCCACTACCAATGTTAGGCCCCCTGGTCTACAATTCCCCGTTTTCTCTCTACTACTCTTTTTGAACATTGGAGTGACATTAGCCACCCTCCAATGTGCAGGGACTCTCAAGAAATATGAGGAACAAGTGAGAAAGTTGTGTTTATCCAAGATCAACTACGATCAGATTGAATGGCAGAGCAGGCTTGAAAGGTCACAACAGTCTAGTCCTGCTGCTATTTCTTATATTCACCATGATTCACCTCTGAATGTAGAAGGACTAGATCCGCTAGATTTGCGGTCATTTAGCTCTCACTATCACACACAGTGTAGCATGTGGGTAATTTTGTGCTGTAACTTTGCCAAGTTGGCACCATGTTTGTGAGATACACCAAGTTCTGCTCTTGGCATGTTCTTCTGCACACATTGAAACAGGACAGACTTGCTGACGTTGGCACAGTGTGGGAAATGACAGGCCGTGAGTTTATAAAATCTGGCTCATTGATGCCTAGTTTTGAGATTGAAGATCTGTTGTGAATCTATCGCATTTAGTAAAGAGAAACAACACAATGGAGGGTTGGAGGGTATCTTCTCTATGAACAAGGTTTCTTATCACTATAATTTCCCCCTGCTACTGGCCCAATCTGTTAGCTATGTCTTTCAGGACATGAGAGTTTATGTGTTAGAAGTAGTACTCCTGAATAACAGACAGTGGAAGCCCTAATCTTCCATCTGGAGATGATTTGAATGAGAAGCTTTCAGATAATTGGAGTTCAGTGACTACAACCATTGGGGTATCACCAATTCAGAAAAGACTGCACTGCTCCTCATTAGCCAGTTGCATACTGATCAGCACTTGGAGTCAATGTGTAACTTGCATACTTTTCTTGGTGCATTAAGATCATTCGATGAGCACACTTGTGATCAAAGACAACTTTTCTTTATTAGTTTGTACTGATGTGCTATTTATTACAAATTTTATCAAATGATCACTACAATTTTAACATACATTCAAAAATTCAAGTTGTATTTATAGACACTTATTAACTGTATACTTATCCAGTGCAACAAATAGCACCATATCTTAAACAGATGTGCAAATGCCAACATTTCCACCTAATATACAGATGAAAAGTAATCATAATTTAAATACCATAGAAAAAAACGGCTAGATTGACAAGCTGCTATGAAAGCATTGGATTACAATCTCTCAATAAGATTTAAGCAAAAACGTTTTTTTTGTATTCTTCAACGTAGACCTTTTGTTTTGCTGCCATCTCTTATTGAAATAACTAAGTTATATTCTGTTCTTTGCCCTTTGGTGAAAATGTTGGATTGTAAGGACGCCTCCGTCTTGGGCGCTGACAAGGTGTGCTTTCTTCTTTGATGTAACCTGAGGATTAATGGCAGACATATTTGAAGTTGTTTGTGACATTTGATTACTTCAAGTTGCAATTTAATTTAAACACCACTAGATGGTGTAACGTCAGTTATCTATGAAAAAGGAAACTAGAAATGGTGTTCGATGGAAGTTCGTCAAAATAAATGGATTTCACCATAGAAAAGTGTTATTTTGTATTCTGTCTGATGACGATCTACTTGTGACCTTGACTTAATACTTATGACATTTATTTCTTCATTCCATCCAAGATCTTTATTTTATAGTAACATTAAGACAGCACAATTACTGCGCTCAGTTTTGCTTAATTCACTTATTACAACTTGGGCTTGTAGAGGGTAAGAAGTAATTACCATGCTTTACTCCCCATTTCAAGCAGATTGCCTTGCATGACGTCACAATAATTCCCCAAGCCAATCTCCTGTGTTCTACTATCATCACTGCCGTTTATGGTCTGACTGTCTCTTTATTTCATCGCTCTCTCTTTTCTAATAGCTTATCTGGAGTGTCAAACTAATTGCTGTACTCCCAGAATAAAAATCAGCAAACTAACTATACAACGATCTCCAACAGTTCATATTAAGATAGTTATGGCAAGTTCAAATAGTGCAAGAGCAATTAGATTGAATTGTTGGAACACCAAACTTTTTTTTTTCCCATAGTGTTAAGGATACTGGACCATAGACATGAAAACAAATATATTCAACCTCACTATATTCTGAACTCCATAAGTGTAAATTCTCCCAAATATCTCTGCAAGGCTGCACACCGGGGAGTGGCAGCATACTGTGAAAAAGCAGCAGATTTTACTTAGTGCTTCCAGTCCTGCTATGTGACTGCTATGAATAACAAAGTTCCTGTTAAGGCATCTTATTCTACATTTTGAGCTGTTGTTACAAGAACATATTTTAATTCATATTTTTAAGCTTGTACCATAGTTGTTCTGACTTGGTCACACATGCTTGGCTATCAGTGTAAACGTCTGATCGGTTTAATTATTTTTACTGCATTGTTTTATAGTTTAATGAGTGACCCAGCCCCCTTCTGGTGGCCAATAAATAGCGCAGATCACTAAACAAGGGCCACTACAAGAGCTTCTTTTGGAGAACCACAAATATAAGGAAACACAAGGTCCAATCAAAATCAGGCTGAAACTCAACATTTTGTTTTCAATCACAACCAAAGTGAAGGAAACTTTACGAACAATACTGGCATGATACTGGCATCTTTAGACACTCTGTACTGCAAAAGCTCCAGACAGGAATTGAATAAACACCTGGATGCAAAGAAATTATTGGACTATAGGGTACAACCCAAAAAATGGGACAGGCTAAATGCTTTTATGGAGATCCGAGACCAGCTTGACATACTGCTTGGCTTCTTCTGTGTGGTCATCACTATATTATACTTAACCTATTAAGAGTTAAGCTTGGCATTATTACTATCACTCTGCACTATTAGCATTTCCAAATTATGCGATTGTGTTATTCCGTAAGAATAATAAGGTCAATGAGACACATCACATCAGGTTTTCGTGATGTAGCATTGTCTGAAGTCCCAAAACAGGAAGAACAATATTGAAATGGTCATCCCAGATGAATTTAAAAATAAAAACATGAAGTGAACGCTGTCTAATGCAGAGTGAAATGTAGGAATGTAGTTATCATTAAAAATAGCAAAACAATCTTGACCCACCAAGTCAGCCTGTACTTTCTCACCTCGATCAACACAGGTCTGTGTTGAGGGGAACCCTACCTCCCAGAAATTCTCAGGTGTGTTTGGTGGAATGTACCGGAATCTATGCCTTGAGCAGTTTGCCAACTTTTTCAGTCTCTCTTCTTCTGGAAGGTCTGCATAATACTTAAATAAAGGCAAATGAATTAAAATATATAACAAAGACTGCAATCTTGCACTTAGAATTGTAAATTGTAAAGCAGAACAATACCCTTCATCAATAACAACTCCTTCCTTCCATTATCATTTTAGCAGGTCCTCAAATAGCTCTTAACATTAAAACTTAATTGAGAATACAATATTCATTGTAACAATAGATGGCGGGATAAGAGGAAAAATATTTTCATCTTGTCAAAAAGAATCACTTATCATTCAATCTTCTATTAACAAAATGCTACCAATGACTGCTAGACTTGGTGTCCCTTTCCCAGGGTTAGCGGCTGACTTATGACACAGTACTATTGAGAAAATGCATTGAATCACTGAGCCCTAAACTACAGAATACTATCAAGGATAGAAAATGGGTTTGAAATTAGATAAGACAAGCAATGATTACACGACACAAACTTGGATTTTTAAAACTGTTTGATTGTAGAAAGAAAATAGTGAACAGCACAACTCTCCATTCTGGGAGGCAAGGGGAAGGAGAAATTGTGGCTTACTATGGTTCCTTTGTTAGTAAAATATGTTCATACTTGAAGGAAACATATGTATTTAACTTTTGTATGCCTTTTTTAAAATCTTGTAGATCTACCTTTGATTAGCAAATCTTGGCGAATAGCAACCAAGTGTATCTCTAGCTATTTGCATATGCCTATGTGGTTCAAAGTACTGACACCAATGTTCAAATAGGTTCATCCACTTCTAAACAAGCCATCAGGAGCAGGGAGAGCAGCATGAGACAAGAATCCTCCTTAGAAATTCCATTACCACATCAGAAAAGAATCTTGTTTGTGATCTAATCACAACTTTCTTTTAAAATTTGTGTGCAGTTTTTAGAAAAATAACATCATGCACCCTAAATCTGTATCAGGTAAAGTTAAGTACTGATTAACAAACCTATTAGTATGAAGTTCGCTTACAGGCAGAAGATGGAGGGTGATGATGTTGGTCTTAAAATCCATCCTTAAGCAGGGTTGTCACCATCAACATAGAAACTTTTAAGAATATTAAAGTGAAGACTTTAGCCTAAAATTTCCTAAGGTTTGCAGGACTGATAAATCCATGGTGGTGACGGACTTCCACACATTAACCTAAGGTGACTTTGTTAGAATTTTGAGGGCCAGGCAATTTAAATAAAATGGATTGTGTCTAAGTTAGTGCTAGAGTAACTGGTCACTCACTCACAAAATTTGACAAGAATCAGCCACAACATGAATTACTGAAAACATATCCTCAACAGACTTAATGAATTATTTGCAACAGACCAGGTTCACATTGACAAACTGAGATGAAGAAACACTGACCTTCAACAAAAGTAATCATCTCTAATGCTTAGTAACACTAAACAGATGGGATTTTTACTGCCCAAATACTGCTAAAGGCATAAGGTTTGTCAACAGATTTGGATGGGTGGGGAGAATCACAGGGATCTGACAAATTCTACCTATGACTTTTATCTTTCCCTGTCCTAACATGGAATTCTAATTATCAAAGCCTGAGCAAATAGAGTCCCATATTAATTGAAGATTTACTTTCATTTACCATCCATGTCTTTAAAAAAGTTCAGATCTAAAATAAAATCTGAAAGTTCTTGTATTTGGTATCATTTATTACAAACGAATAGAAAGAAAGAAAGAATCATCTTTACTTACAAGAGGGTGATTTTTGAGCCATAAACATAAAACAAACTAAATGAACTAGAGCCCCAGAACAGGTCTTACAATATGCTTAACCAGTACTTACTACTTCACATTCCTTGCACGTATGCCCATACAATTTTCTTCTCTCTTCTTTGTTACGGACGACCTCAACATGAGGGAAGTTTAAAACCGTATTCTTCCTATACAACAAATAATGCAAAGGCACAATATTTAATAAAATACTTTCTTATGTTCTTACAAATATGTAACATTGCATGATATGGTGTTCACCATTTCACAGTTTCAAGATAATTAGACCCGTTAAAAACAAAATTAAATGCAATAGTTTCATAAACTAATCATGAAAACAACAAAATGCAAGATACACTTGGTTGGGATTAAGAAGGTATGCAATACACCTCCCTCCCCAACTTTTATACAGGATTTAAAACCTTTTCAAGATTCCAGAAAGTCAAAACAGATGAATACTTTTGGAAAAAATGTTCCATGAGTTCAGAAATGTTCAATCTTTTTTCCACCAATGTATCAGTTCACAATATTCAATGAGACGACATTACATTTTTTTGTTGTAGGTGTTAAATGAAATAAAGTGTATTTACTTTTTGGAAGATGAAAGATCTTTCAGGAACCAAAGGATGAAATCCATACAAAGAACTGCACTACATGAAAGAGTATCTAGTTCTGCATTCTCCTGGCTGGGTGGAATTTGCATGCTCTAAATCATCGTGTTACTGACTGGACAGTACTATGCTGGTGTTATCTAAAGCAAATATTAATATGACATTGACAGGACACTGGCTGTGACCATCTAGATCACAGATACATAGTCACCTTTACCCACAATAAGACCAGCAGCCCATTTTTCTTAAACCAAGTTATCAGATCAAAAGTTGAAGTATGAAAATTAGTCATTAGTTGCATCAGCATATATTACATCTAGACTCCAAGATTAATCTTGCTGAATACTTGTTACCTTTTCCCAGAGTTTAAATAAGGCTGTGCAAAAGATTCATTTTTTATTTTTTCTGGCTCTTCTTGGAATACTGTAAAACAAAAGTCAAGTGTTTACATAAAATGTCAATTCTGCCATCATTCACATTTTTATTCAAATTGCTATGCTGAAATGATCAAAATCTTTGATCATGTAGATTGATCAAACATTGATAAAACAGGAAAAATACAAACTTAACAGTACAAGAGGCAGCCACTGAATCTGTCACTTCTATATTGATGACTTATTTCCATTTACCTGCTGTTTCTCCTTTTATTACATTTTTTTACTCCACTTATCTGTTAAAATATCAATTTCTACTGTTTCAGATAGGATAGTTCATGTCCACATATCTATCCACATTTCTACTGTGCTCCTGATCATATTAAATTTATGCCTTCCAGTTACCAACATGGTAATCTGTTTCTCTCTAAATACAGTACTGTATGAAAATCTCTAGAAACTTTATTCATCCTCTACACGGTTTTAACATCTGTCTTAAAGTAGGATGTTCAAAATTGTACACCATTGAATTGATAACCTTCTCATGAAACCGTTTGAGAGTGATTTGAGCACAACTCTGCAGAAGAGCGTTTTCAGTCATCTACAATCTTTGAAACTGTGCCCCTTTAACATTATTCTCTATATGCTATGTAATATTTTTACAGTCCTGGGGTCTAAATACATGAACCACAATCTCCACTAAACCAACACGTTCCAGAAAAGAACTTGTGTGCATTTGAGTGGAGGATGATAACTGGTCACTCAGAACATACACTTCTTAAAATTCAATAATTAAAAGCCGAAATTAAATTGAAGCTAAGATGTGAAATGGAATGTAGATCAGGTCCTGAGAACAATTTCTTTTAACTATTTCCTTTCATTTCCTGTGCACACAGACGCTTGCCATGCCAGTATTCCACATGCACTAGTGACCCTACTTAGTCCAGGTAGTTATTCTTCACTGCTGAGTAAAGACAATAACTGCTGATGGGCTATTTAATCAAAAGGGACCTGACTTTTTAATCCAAAGACCAATAACATTTTCCATTGACATTGCTGGACAGAAATCATAAGCAGAGAGTCTGACTGTCTTTTATTGGTCCTTCACTAGTTATCATAGTTTATTCTACCATCCCTACAGCTGACGCAATGAGGCAAATTAAGGAAACATTTGTAATGAAAAAAGGGACTTCAGTTCAGGATGGGCTAGTGCTACACTGTACCATTGCCTACTAAGTAACCAGGACAGAAAGAATGAGTTGATCCCAAAATGCAGATTACCGCTGTCGTAAACGTTACGTGGACTCTTCGTTTCTTCAGGATATGATTCATATTCTCCATAGGCAGTACGATCAAAAACTTCAGCAAGACTATCATCCATTACATGTCTGCTTCCTGTAGCAAAAATAAAGCAATCACAAAATGACAAAGGAATTGATTATTTACTATTTTGAGAATGTTGAGATGCATAGCTACACTACGGAGTTACTATTCATAAGTAATAAACTGTCCTATGGAGTCAGTGATACATTTGTGCTAAATAAACAAAGCACAAGTACATGAAAAATGTTTTGATTCATTTAACTTAAGCTCTCTGTCAGTACTTTTTTGCAATGTAAAGCATGTGATTCTATTCATATTTCCATACCATTTATGTTAGCTTTTGGATTTTCAACTAGTGGTATGTGTCTCTGTGTAAGGATGTTTAATGATTAACTTGCAAATATTTTTGTAGCTATAGAGATCTCTTATGAAACACATGTGAGAAGGAGACTTCCTAGAGAGTAACAGGGTTTTGATTTCATTGGGTGAGTCTTATGAGTGAACAAAGCAAGATTGTGCACTTGGCTTCAGCTAGAAGGCTGAAGAATTATGCATTTAGCCAAGAAAAATACTCATAGCTTGGAAAAGCTTTTTTAGTGTCAGTTTGCTAAATTTGCAGATGTCTTGTTTGAAGCTGGATGAGAAAAATAGTTCCTCCTAAAGGAGGAAGACAGTTCAAGACTATTACAAAATAGATGAATTTTGTGAACAGAGTTTAGTTTTAAGGTTCCAGACCAGGTGTTTTTAGTTAATCCCTTGAAGGGAATTTTGAAGCTGAGAATGTCTAAGCTCAGTTACGTAAGATCTAAGAAACAAACAATCAGATTCTCATGACTGGGAAACTGAAACACAGTTAAATTAAGCCTTATTGATGTGACAGGGAAAGGAATTCTCTCTGGTGTGAGTACTAGAAAGTAGTGCTGTTAGGATTAATAGGATTGCATTTTACCAAGTGCTTTGAAATCTTTAAATTTGTGTCATATGTAAATTGTTTGGTATATTCTATTTTCTCTTTTCATTTGTGTGATAAATTCTGTATCGTTATTAAAATCAAACAATTGCAGTTTTGCAAGCTTGTGTTTCAGATCAGGACCCCCATGTTAAAACCAAAAATGATGATCTATCAAGCCAGATTTAAGTCTTCGATCTGTCCAGTAATAGCAATAATTGGGATCACAACACTTCAAAACAAAGCTTTGTACAGGTCTAGTAATAACACATCCATTCATTCATGAAGACAGTACAAACATTATCTCTCACCCTTCAATTACCTGGTTTCTAATAAAGGTATTCATTGTCTTTCTGAAATTCAATACATTCTCTATCTCACACAGATTTCCACAGATTATTCCACCTTTAAACTACTCTTTGCCAGAAGAAATTATTTCTAAGCTATCTGTCAACTTTTCCTCATCTAAAACATGAATCTTTATCTCCAAGCACTTCAACATGCACGTATAATGCCATTTTCATTTTAACGCTGTTTCCATGAGTTGACAGCATTCAAGTTGAGCACTGGCATCAGAACTGCACGCCAATAACACAGATGAGTGTCTGATGCTACCTGCATTCCAGATGCCCTCTCCCTGTATTCTTGATGATGGGCTTTGCTTTGCTTTGCCCCAGTCTTACTTCCTTGTTCTAACCTTCCGGCGCCAGGTCTGGTCTTCTCTTCATTCTTGAATTCAAATTGAGATCATGGCTTCCATTTAGTGGCAGAAGTCAGTCAATGCAAGTAGAGAAAGTAAGAACTGCTGATGCTGGAGTCTGAGATAACAAGGTATGGAGCTGGATGAACACAGCAGGCCAGGCAGCATCAGAGGAGCAGGAAAGCTGACATTTTGGATCTGGACCCTTCTTCAGAAATGGGGGAAGGGAAGGGGGCTCTGAAATAAATAGAGAGAGGGGGAGGTGATGCTAGAAGGGGGATAGTGGAGCAGATAGGTGGACAGATGATGGACAGGTCAAGGAGGTGGGGATGAAGCCAGTACAGGTGAGTGTAGGTAGTGAGTTGGGATGGGGGTTGGTCAGTGAGGTGGGAGGAGTAGATAGGTGGGAGAAAAGACGGACAAGTCAAGGAGCTGGGGACGAGAGGGGGGTGCTGGTCTTGGGATGAGATTGGGGGTGGGGAGATTTTGAAGCTTCTAAAGTCTACATTGAGACCATTGGGTTGCAGGGTTCCCAGGCGGAATATGAGAATGCAAGTAGTTCTGGGAGTCGAGCTCCACCAACCAACTTCTACCATTAAATGGAGTCTGGTCAATCTAACGGGTCTGTGCTGTACAGTGAAAGGAAGTGTAGTTATTTTTTAAATATTGTATTGCATTTCTTTTGTATTTATTTTTCCCCTTTGTTTCCCATAATAAAAATGTCCACAGGATCCAACTCTGGCTTTCACATTGATTCCTTTTCCTGGAATCAAGATCAGCGTTCAGCTCGGTTATATATGTGTACTAGTGAATGAGAAATATTGTCCAATACCACAGAAATTACTCTACTCCATATAATGCATCCAGTAAGCGGCTGATCAGCAGTAACTATGACCTACTGTCCCATTAAAACATCAGTTACTCCTGGCTGAACAAAACTGAGGAAAGGTCACTGGACCTGAAATGTTAACTGATGTTTTCTTCACAGATACTGCCAGACCTGCTGAGCTTTTCCAGCAACTTCTGTGTTTGTTCTTGAACAAAACTTAAGCTGTTTAATCAGTCCTCAGTGTAATTACAGAGGGTCATTAGTTTAAGGCCATCAGTGATTACTATGTCTTCAATTGGTGAAAACTGCAACATTTAGGAGTAGCAGGGTATCTGATATTAACATCAAACTTCTGAATACCCGTAGAATAGCACTAATGGGATCAGTAATATGAGGCTCTTGAGTGGGCCTAATTGGCCACTTTAGGGCTTCAATTGGCATGGAGGTGATAAGGCACAACTTTTCTACATCTTAATCGGGGGGCAAATGATAGACTCTCCACCTGCATTTACCCACATGTGCTTGGGAGAGATTCAACTCCATGCTAGAAGTCGACAGCATTTACATCATTTGTTTGATGACGTTAGACTTTCAAAGGTTTGTAAGTGAAATGTTAATTTTATATTTGCTGAACATGCTGAAGCTACTGGACCTATGCCTCACCACCCACTTCACTTTCAACGGCCAAACATATGAACACATCAACGGGACACCCATGGGATCACCTATCTCTGGACTAATAGCCGAGGCTGTGATGCAAAGACTGGAAAGTACGGCCCTTCTGCTAATCCAACCAGAACTATGGATACGCTATGTAGACGACACCTTTGTCATCATCAAATGGACAAAACTACAGGAGACACACAAACTAATAAAAAACATCCTCACCGGAATCAAATTCACCAGAGAAGAGGAGAAGAACAAACAGCTCTCATTCCTGGATGTCATGGTTGAGCGCAGGACAAATGGGGAACTCCTAACGAAGGTACACAGGAAAGTCACGCACACTGACCAAGTACTGAACTTCAACAGCAACCATCCTAACACACACAAATGAAGCTGTGTGAGAATATTATTTAAATGGGCAACAACATACTGCAGCAGCACAGAGATACGCTGAGAAGAAGAATAACTCTTCTAGGTGTTCAAGGACAATGGATATCCGAAAAACTGGGTCAGAAGATGCCTACTAAACGAATGACACCAGGGAGAAACTACACGCCCCCAACACGTTCATCACGTTACATCAGGAACACATCGGAACTAACCACAAGACTCCTACGACCACTGGGCATCAGAATAGCGCACAAACCCTCATCAACCCTATGACAACTGCTCACCCGAACCATAGACTCACTACCCACTATGGACAGGACCAATGTCATATACAAGATTCCCTGCAGAGACTATGACAAACATTACATCGGACAAACAGGAAGGAAATTAGCAACAAGGGTGCACGAACATCAATTGGCTACAAAAAGACATGAGCAAAACTCACTCATGTCTATCCACATGGATAAGGAGAACCACCAATTCAATTGGGACAACACCAAGATCCTGGGAGAAGCTAAGCAGAGACAAGCACAGGAGTTCCTAGAAGCCTGGTACTCCACAAAGAAAGCCATCAACAAACACATAGAACTTGACCCCATATACACTCCATTGCAAAGGAAAACCGGAAGTGAGGTAATCCAGCTCAACGGACTCCACAGCTTAAATACCAGGCGGGAAAACACAACGGCACTTCCTCGGAGGCTGCACGGATGATGTTACCCAGCAGAGTAATGAAACGTCTGCGAAACAACGAACCAGCTCGGCGAGCCAACCAACCACAAATTTTATATTTTCAACATTTCTAATTGGTAAATTGTGTCTTTGTATTATGTTGTGCGATTGAGGTTAGCATAGAATGGCTTACGAGTTTAATATAAAGATTCTTTTTGTTTATTTACCAAGGACAGGCTTGTTGATTCTTGATTCTTTTGGTTGTGGCAAGATACTTTCACTCACGTAAGTGCAATCTATGTCCAAGCTATTCAGCCCTGGTTGCCTGATGGATTTCTAGAGAAAAAAAAAATTGTGAATTCTTTTATCTGCAGCTTTTATTCTCCAATTGAATAAAAGCATTACATATGAATAATATTCTAATAATGGCATTTTTTTTCCATTCCTAATGCATAATTCACTGATCTTAATTTAGTGATTTGTTCACCACAAAATAAAGCATATAGATGGTAATTTATGATATCACTGCAGAATGAGTCCAGTTGGATTGCTCTAACTTTCAGAGTATCATTGACGCTGTGCTTCATTTAAACCGAATTAAAATTGTCTACATTTGCTATTTTAAATCATGCATTTAAACAGTTTTAGGGTATGAAGCCTGGGACCTGCAGGGAGGACCAAATCGGGAACCCAGAAACCATACCCTCTCCCACTTCTCATTCTCCACCACCACTCCCACCCACCCACACCACACAGCATCCAATTCTCTCCTATCTACCCGCTCCCCTGCCTCCAACCCCACCGCATCCTGCTTCTCTCCTCCTGTTTCAATGCACGTGCAGAGTGATAAAGGTTATGGGGAATGAACACAGTGGTAGGAATTAGTTTTGAATTGATGCCAGAGTCATAGAAATCATGAGTTGAATGGCTTCATTTTCTGTTGAGATCTTCCATGATTTCAAATAAGAATGAGGAAGTGATCCTGAAATAATACAAACATTTATATGACTGGATACCTTTGAGTCCACTTCTGAAGTGCCCATTGTGCAGTCTGCTCCTGGATCCATGCTCCACTGAATGTTTTCTGATTTTGTTCCTGAAATTATCAGCATTTTAAAGTCAATGGGTGTGTCATCTCAACTGTTCTATAGACTTCATCTAACCACACAGGTAGGATGGTTTATTTTTGTTTTGCAACAAATTGAAATGATTGTATTGTGGAAAAGATGGAACTGCATTTGCTACTGACAAAGGAATATAAACATAGGGTGCAAACAGGATAAAATCCAAAAGGTCCTGTTTGCTTGAAGCAAGGGAATAAAAGAGGAAAGAGCAGCCTGGAAGAGAATGAAAGAGGTGAGAGGGCAGAGAGGAAGCAGCAGGAACAGGCAGGAAAGAGACACAAAGAAGAGAGGGAATGAAACAACATAAGGGAGAGAAAGATGAAAGAAAGGCCATCTAGTTGCAGCTACTGGCTTGTTTTATAACCAAAAACATTTAATACGCTAAAATGTATTGGAGTCTTTGGAAAAAGTTGAAAGTCCTGTTATCTGGTACTAACAGGTTTATAAAGTGAGGCAAAATGCTCGCTGGTGCCAATATTAATCAGTGATGCTTGAGGCTACAGAAGACTTTCAAGTGTACTTAAATTTTCACTTGAAGGAGAGCCGAATATGATTTATTCGGTGGTTTGTTAACCTTACAGTGAAGTTGCTACAACAGGCTGCAGTATCTATGGGTTAGGAAAGGGCAGTGACTCTGTGTCCTCCTGGAACTGTATAAGTATCTATTGGCAGACAAAACTGGATTAGTGTTAGCTCGTTATCTGTCACAGCTAGATTGCCAGCAGCATACAGAGTTACATGTGAATGATGCATAATTAGAAAAAGTACTAAAGGGCACCTGCTCTGCTTGAATAGTCAATAATACTAGCCAGAAATGAGAAAAGTAAGCTACGAGATAAATTTAGAAATAGCAATATGGAAACCAGCCTATTTATACTCTGTTGCCAGTTTGTCCTAGTAATTGGGTTTGTTTGGCTGATGTGCATGAACAATAACTTGTGTTTATACAGTGAACTTAACACATTAAACATCCATAGATTGGGAGTACGTTAATCTTGGACATGAGAATTCTAATCCAATTGGATTGGATTTACATTTTAGAAACAACACGAGTCGGTCCGTGTTAATGTTCATACACCAGACCAGCCTCTTCCCACCTTATTTTGTCTCATTTCCAAGTCCTAATCCCTTCATTGCTTTCTCCCTTATGAATTTATCTAATTATCCCTTAAATAAATATATGCTATTCACTTCAATTAGCAGAAAGTTCCGTCTGTAATCACTGAGTAAAAAAAATCCTCCTGAATTCCTTATTGAATTAATCAGCGACTATCTTAGATTTATGGCTTCTAGATCCCTATTCTATCACTCCAATGTCCAGTCTTTCAAATTACTTTGACATTTTAAAGAACCCTGTTACTTAATTCTGCATCTATAACCTTTTAATTCTGCTGTCGCTTTCAGGAATCTGTTTTTCACTTTCTTCACTGCCTCCGTACTGTTCTACATGAAGACTAGAATTGTAAACAGTTCACAAGTGACAACTTATCAAAGTTCTATACAAGTTTAACAACTCCCTGCTGGATTAGGACTGTACGCCAAGCCTGGAGCAGATGATGGTAGAGAGAAATTAAAATGATCTATGGCACAGATTCCGAAGCCAAATAATAGCATAGAACAGGGTCAACTGAAATAATTGAACAGTCCTGCCCAGGTGGAAAAGAGTAAAACATAAAACAGAAAGGCATTAAGTAGTGCACAGACCGATTTCTATTTCAATTCAAAACAGGAAGAGCAGAAGAATTGAAGTATCTTTAGGTGCTTAAAATGTTTGAAAAAGAGGACTCAGAATAATCAATCTGAAAAATCAAAAAGAAGCTGGGTAAATTTCCTCTGGTATAGAAGACAAAAAATGTCTGGTCCTTAAACTGATGATTTTCCGTCGATCAAAGCTGTAATGGAGCAGAGTGGGAGAAGAAACTCAAAATAAAGACAACAGTCTCAACATTTCTGAAAACAATCAGCCACTGCACAATATTCTAAACCAGACAAGAATTATGAAACATTACCAAAGGCCAAATTTCAATTCAATTATTTGAATGCTACTGTATTACTTGAATTGCTAACTTACCAGCATGATCAGTGTTTCTACACTTTGCAATTGTTGCAGAAGGGTTTGGGTTTGGTTGAAGTACTGAGGTGGGCTCTGATTCTGAGGATGCTGTTTTTGCAATTTTCCTTGTTGGAACTTCGACTTCAAGGCCCTGAGACAAGAATATGAAATATTTTTTACAAATAGAATAATGCAAAATGGGGTTGATTTCCACATGTTTTCCTTTGGCACTGGAGATCTTTCAATGAGGTCAAGTTGGGGTCTTTAGCAGTTTAGTCCATCTTTTGTGCATGATGCTACCTTTGTCAACAAGCTGAAGCAGATTGTAGAAATAGTAGTTTGAGGCTAATTAAGGCTCTGATTGACAATTAAATTGCAGGCCAGCTGACGTTAAAGAGGCTACATATTATTTTTACCAAGTTCACATTATTATTTTCTGAGGAAGGGTCACCGGACCCAAAGCGTTAACTCTGTTTTTTCCTTCACAGGTGCTGCCAGACCTGCTGGGCTTTTCCAGCAACGTTGTTTTTGTTCCTGATTTACAGCATCCGGTTCTTTCGGTTTTTACCACATATTATTTTGATGGGCAGCCCTTCATGGCCTCTTTCAATGGTGCCCGGTTGAGCAAAAGGAAATAATCAGCAGTGAGGATTTTCAGAAGTCAAAAACATGCTCAACTTTTACTGTTCATTTACTGCTGGAGATAGATTGTATTTGAACTGAACTTTGGAGACACAATAGGAAACTCTCCGAGATCTTAGAAAGGACTTTAAAGCTCTACCAACGTTTTCTCTGAAATTCTCGGAGAGTTTACCTAAGCCTAGCCAGTGCTATGCCAGTTCATTTTGCTGGAGACCATATAAAGTGACAAGGGGAAAGGGAGTACTCAGTCAAGGTGGTGTGTCAATAAGCGTGGAGCTGGAAAAGCACAGCTGGTCAGACTGCATCCGAGGAGCAGGGAAGTCAACTTTTCGGGCTGAAACCCTTTGTCAGAACTAGTGAGGGAGAGGGGGACCCAGAAATAAATGGGAGTGAGGGGGGGGCGGGGGTGTGGGGGCGGCTGGGAGGAGGGTAGGTGCGATGGAAATAGGTGGATGCAGGTAGAGGATTATTGTGGTTGGTCAATGGGAAGGGTGGAGCAGATAGTAGCGGAATTGTTTCAGAATATGGTTGAACAGCTTCACGGTAGAGGAGATAACCAGGGGTTTCAGTGGGAGAGAGACTCATTGACCTCTCTTTGGAGGGAGGAGGAAAATCTCTTCAAGGTGGGCATCCTTAGAACAGACTTCACAGTATGGTTTCCAGCGACTTGGAGATAGTAAGGACTGTAGATGCTAGAAGCTAGAGTCAATAAATGTGGGGCAGGAAAAACACAGCCAGTCAGACAGCATCCAAGGTGAGTTGGAGATAGGTGGATGCAGGTAGGGGGTTTTTGTGGTTGGTCAGTGTGAAGGTTGGAGAGGACAGTAGCAGGATTGCTTCAGAAGGGAGTCTTGCTACGGGTTCACAGTCTACATAAGTAATGAAGGAAAAGGTGAGGACACAAGAGTACCAGCTGTTGCCAGAGGATGAAGCAGAAGTCTACACCCTTGTGGGTATAGACTGCATCTTATCCTCTGAAACTTGACTGCAACATCTTGAGCCCGTGATCTCTCCCCATTGTCCAAATCAACCTGAAATATCATACTGTGTGCCAGTCAGTACATTCAACGCACTGTCAATGAATAGGGTGGTGTAAAAGCTATACACACCACAGCATGAAAATTGCTTCTGAACAGCACTTCAGTGCTATTCTGCTAGTTTCTGTAAATGAACAGTAAAAGTTTAGCACCTCCAAGCATACTTAAATCAAGGTAATTATCAAATTTCCCCGACATTGCGGGCTAAAATCAAATTTTCAAACAACGTACAACCATAATGCCCATTTTCAGATTTTCAACAAAATAAACAAAATTAAAATACTGAAGACATGGATCTATTAATTTCATAACATAATGGTAATCTGGGTAGTAGAAGGAAAGAGACAAAACATTGTCAATGTATAAAAGGTCCAACCTAAAGTGAGCCTCTCAAAATACATTTCCCTGCAAAGCACATACACAATTCTGGTTACAGAGATAGTAGGAACTGCCGATGCTGGAGAATATGAGATAACAAGGTGTAGAGCTGGATGAACACAGCAGGCCAAGCAGCATCAGAGGAGCAGGAAAGCTGACGTTTTGGGTCGAGATCCTTCTTCAGAAAGAATTCTGGTGTGCTGTTTAATCTCGAGATTATTCACCATCTCCCAAGTAAATATTGAAGCAAAGTAATTATTTAACCTTTGTGCCATTTCATTTTTGCAGATTTTGATTTTCTCCTGCTCATTTTTAGTGATCCCTGTTCTCAACCTGGCATTTCTTTTTGTTTATAAAATATTTTGCTTTTTGTTTTGCTTAAAGTTCCTTGATTGTTTCATGATTCCTTCTTGCCTTCCTAACTGCTCTGAATTCTCTCCCGGTCTCTATATATTTGTTCCCATCACAATCTCTGCTGTTTTCCTTATACTTAGTACATATCTCAATCCAAAGTCCCTCAAAATGAGATTTGGTCCCATCTATTACCCAGAACTTCATTGCTATTGCTATTTATGTTCTGAAGAAGGAAACATTAACTCTGATTTCTCTCCACATATGTTGCCAGACCTGCTGAGTTTTTTCAGCAATTACTGCTTTTGTTTCAATTTCCAGCATCCGCAGTTTTTTGTTTTTTTTGTTTGTTGCTATTGCTGATATTTTCCCTCTCAACTTTAGTTCATCCACCATTGCCAGATCTGGCAATGAAGCTTCCCTTAACAGATGTCTTTTTTTACCTAATCAGTTAAAAATAAGTCTTGTACACACTGTAAGAACCTCACTCCCTTATTTCTGTTACCTACCTCATCTGACAATAAACTTCCTCTGATTATTATTCTGTAGAATATATACGTACATGCGCACTCATATGTAATAACATATATAAATTATTGCTAAACATTCCAAATTCATATCAGAATCTTCCCTCTGAGCACTTGAATGAAAACACATTTTTCTCCTCATTTATTTTTGGCCAGGAGCTCCCACTTGTGTGGGATGGGGAATGAGTAAGTAGTATAACTTCCCTACTGCCATATCATGTTCACTGCCACCAACTGCAGTCTGGTGGAAATGCTATGACTTTCCTGCACTTTTCCTGGAACAAGGCTAGCTCTCTGCAAACTCAGGAAGGTTGATATTTCAGAAGCTCAGTAGAGTGGAAGAATCCTATGAGCTTTTATGGTGCCACTTTTTACACAAGTGATAGTAAAAATCTAGATATTGGGACAACTGTAGCTTTCATGACTACTGCTGACATTTTTGTTAGGTAAGGGTGTCGAAAGATATGAAACTATAAGGAGACAAATAGAATTACAGTTCAGATCAGCCATTACCTAACTGAATGACAAAATAAGTTCAAGGTGCCTAATGCTGTTCCCAATGCTGTAGCTCCAACTATAATTTCACAGGTCTTATTACCTTTTTATTTTCCATTCATTTGCAATGGAGAGATACTACATAGGTATTCTCACTTTGAACAAATGTGGGAAAGCAAACTTCCTTATTTATATACTGTAAACATACCTTTCGGTCACTAGGAAGCTGCTCATTCTGAGAAAAGTCACTGGATTGCAGGTGAGAGTATCTGCAAATTGATGAATTACCATCCTCATCATTTTTCTCATTTTTAACTTTAACTTCTTGACATATTTCACTACGTGATCTTCCAATGGTCTCTTGCACACAAACATCATCTTGTGGATCCTTATTAAGTCCATTATAGGCTCTTCTGAAATTTGCAGTCTTTATACTTTGTTTCAGGGATTCCAGTGGGTTAACTTGTATTAGTTTACTACACACTGCATCTTTCCCGTGGCTTCTATCTCCCAACCGGCCACTAGAAACGTGATCAGACAAGTCCAATGGCTTGTCAAGATTATCACTGTTTACAGAAACAGCTTTCTCTGATTTTGAAGGAAGATTTTCTTTATTAAGTGAAGGCTTTTCACAATTAGTGAGCAAATCCCTTTCATCTTCCATTTTTCTTCTTTTCGCCGACCTGTGAGATGTAGGCAGGCATGAAGTGCTCCCAGCTGTATCAGACTTAATTTCAGTGTGATTTTTTGCAATCTTTTGTTCACCCAGCTTAGATTCTTCAATAAATTGGACCATTTTCATCTGGTAAATCAAAAAGGGGAAATAAGAGCAGTGTTTTGAATATTTAGATTTCATATTTAAACATGTCCAAGAAATTCCAACTTTTCAAAGGGAAACGTCTGTCAAGCAAAGATGACTGACTTACTTCTTGATCAGTGAAATCAGCTGACGCTCCAAATACAGGAGATTTACACTGAGAAACCCAGTTTCCACTTTGTTCATTTGCTTCTGCTGCACAAGTAAACCTGAAAGAATATTTTAAATAAGAGATAACACGGTGTAGAGCTGGATGAACACAGCAGGCCAAGCAGCATCAGAGGAGCAGGAAAGCTGACGTTTCGGGTCGAGACTCTTCTTCAGAAAATACTTTAAAACTTTTTTAGTTGCCTTCCCTCAATTGGGCAATAGATAACAATAAATCACAGCATTTGACAGACATGTGAACATTCCAGCTATATTTAACTATGATCTATGTTAGAAATAAACCTGCATATTTCAAAATAATTAATTTATTACATTTAGATTGAGAGAAATTGGGCAAAAGAAGGAGATGCACATACATATTATAAAATGGCTACAGAGATGATGCATGTTTGATTTAGATATTTCATAAGACCACAAGAAATAGGAACAGAAGCAGGCCTTTTAGCCCCTCAAACCTACTCCACCATTCAATATGATTATTGCTGATCCAACAGTCCTCATGTCTGTTTTCCCATTCTTTCGCCGTAACCCTCGATTCCCCTAGTAATCAAGAATGAATCTATCTCAACCTTAAATATGCACAAGGACTCTGACCCTACAGCTCTCTGTGGTAAGGAATTCCAAACCACTCAATCAGAGAAGAAATTCCTCTTCATCTTAGTATTAAATTGGCAACCATACATTCTGAGATAATGCCTTCTCATCTGAGGCTCTCCCACGAGAGGAAACATCCTCTCAGCATTTACCTTGTCAAGCTCCTTGCAAGAACTACATATGTTTCAATGAGATCACCTCTCATTCTTCTAAACTCTTGTGGGTTTAAGACAATCCCTCCGTACCAGTCATCATCCTGGTGGACATTCTCTGAACTGCCTCCAATTAAATAATATCATTTCTTAAATAAAGGGACCAAAACTGCTCACAGCACTCCAGATATGGTCGCACTAGTACCTTATAAAAGACTGCACTACTCCTATACTCGAGCCTTCTTGAAATAAGGACCAGCATTCCATTAGCCTTTGTGGTTACCTGCTGCACCTGTGCGCTAGGATTTCTTTGTTTCATTGCACAAGTACCAGCAAGACCCTTTGGGTTGCAGCTTTCTGCAGCTTTTCTCCATTTAAATAATATTCTGTTCTTTTGTTCTCCCTACCAAAATAAACAACTTCACATTTTCCTATATTATACTCAATTCCCTAACTTTTTTGTCCACTTACGTAACCTACCAATATCTCTCTGTAAACTGTCGTGGCACTCTCACAGCCTGCCTTTCCACCTATTTTCATGTCATATGTACATTTGGCTACAGTACACATACTTTCTTCCTTCAAGTCATTTATATATATTGTAAACATTTGGGGTGCCAGCACTGATCCCTGTGGAATCCTACTGGCCAATCTGAAAAAGAAGCCTTTATCCATAGTCGCTGTTTCCTGCTCAGCAGCCAGTTCCCTATCTATGCCAACATACCACCTCCAACACTGTGGGCTCTTACCTTAAGACAATCTTTTGTGAGGTACCTTATCGAACGCCTTCTTTCCCCTTCATCCACTCTAGTTAATACTTCCTCAAAAAACCTCTAATAAATTAGTCAGACATGATTCCCCCTTTTTTTTATTCATTTGGGGGATGTGGGCATCGCTGGTTGTCCAGCATTTATTGCCCTTGGAAGTGAGCTGCCTTCTTGAACTGCTGCAGTCCACCTACTGTGGATTGATCCACAATGCCATTAGGGAGGGAATTCCAAGATTTTGACTCATCAATAGTGAAGGAATGGTGATATATTTCCAAGTCAGGATGTTGAGTGACTTGGACGGGGGTGTGTGTGTGTGTGTGTGTGTGTTTGGTGGGGGGAAAAACTTAAAGGTGGTGGTGTTCCCATATATCTACTGCCCTTGTCCTTCTAGATGTAAGTGTCGATGGGTTTAGAAGGTGCTGTCTGAGGTTCTTCGGTGAATTTCTGCAGCACATCTTGTAGATAGTTCACACTGTTGCGGCTGAGCGTCAGTGGTGGAGGGAGTGGATGCTTGTGGATGTAGTGCCAATCAAGCTGGCTGCTTTGTCTTGGATGGTGACAAGCTTCTTGAGTGTTGTTGGGGCTGCACTCATCCAGGCAAGTGAGGAGTATTCCATCACACTCTTGACTTGTGCTCTTTAGATGGTGGACAGGCTTTGAGGAGTCAGGCGGTGAGTTACTCGCCAAAATATTTCCAGCTTCTGACCTGCTCTTGTAGCCACTGTGCTTATGTGGTGAGTCCAGTGGAGTGTCTGGTCAATGATAACACCCAGGATGTTGATAGTGGGGGATTCAGTGATGGTAACACCGTTGAATGCCAAGGGACAGTGGTTAGATTGTCTCTTATTTGTGGTGGTCATAGCCTGGCATTTGAGTGGCACAAATGTTACTTGCCACTAGTCAGCCCAAGCCTGGATATTGTCCAGATCTTCTTGCACTTGAACACGGACTGCTGCAGTATCTGAGGAGTCATGAATGGTGCTGAACATTGCGCAATCATTGGCAAATATCCCCACTTCTGACCTTATGATGGAGGGAAGATCATTGATGAGGCAGCTGATGATGGTTGGGCCTAGGACACTACCCTGAGGAACTCCTGCAGCGATGTCCTGGAGCTAAGATGACTGACCTTCAACAACCACAAACATTTTTTATTATTCATTCACGGGATGAGAGGCATAGCTGGCTAGGCAGCATTTATTGCCCATCCCTAATTGCCCAGAATGCAATTAGAGTCAACCACATTGCTGTGGGTCTGGAGTCACATGTAGGCCAGACCAGGTAACGATGGTAGTTTTCGTCCCTGAAAGGGCATTAGTGAACCTGGTGGGCTTTTCCAACAATCAACAATGAATTCATGGTCATCATTCAACTCTTAATTTCAGATATTTATTGAATTCAAGTTCCACCATCTGCCATGGTGGGATTTGAACCCAGGTCCCCAGAACGTTATTCCAGTCTCTGGACTAACAGTCCAGCGATAATACCACAAGGCCATCACCTCCCCTTTAAATAGCTTCCTATGTGTCAGGTATGACTCCAAACACTGGAGAGTTTATCCCTGGATTCCCACTGATCCTAGTTTTGCAAAAGCTCCTTCATGTCACATTTGATCGAATGCAGCCTTGATATCAAGGGCTGTCACTCTCACCTCTGGAATTCAACTCTTTTATCCATGTTTGGACCAAGGCTGTAATGAGATCAGGAGCTGAGTGGCCCTGGCGGAACCCAAACCGGGCGTCACTGAGCAGGTTATTGTTGAGCAGGTGCTGCTTGATAGCACTGTTGATGACACCTTCCATCACTTTACTGATGATTGAGAGGAGACTGATGAGGCAGTAACTGGCCAGGTTGAATTTGTTCTGCTTTTTGTGTACAGCACATGCCTGAGCAATTTTCCACATTGTCAGGTAGATACCAGTGTTGTAACTGATTGGAACAGTTTGGCGGGGGGAGCAGCAAGTTCTGGAGCACAGGTCTTCAGTACTATTGCCGGAATGCTGTCAGGGCCCGTAGCCTTTACAGTATCCAGTGTCTCCAACTGTTTCTTGATATCACGTGGGGTGAATTGAATTGGCTGAATGCTGGTATCTGTAATGCTGGGGACCACTGGAGGAGGCCAAGATGGATCATCCACTCGGCACTTCTGGCTGAAGATTGCTGCGAATGCTTCAGCCTTATCTTTTGCACTGATGTGCTGGGCTCTTCAATCATTGTGGATGGGGATAGTTGTAGAGCATCCTCCTCCAGTGAGTTATTTAATTGTCCACCACCATTCACGACTGGATGTGGCAGGACTGCAGAGCTTAGATCAGATCTGTTGGTTGTGGGACTGCTTAGCTCTGTCTATCATTTGCTACTTATGCTGTTTGGCATGCAAGTAGTCCTGTTTGGTGGCTTTGGTGGGCTGCTCCAAGCATGCCCTCCTGCACTCTCCATTGAACCAGGGTTGATCCCCTGGCTTGATGATAATGGTTGAGTGGGGGATATGCCAGGCCATGAGGTTACAGATTGTGCTGGAGTACAATTCTGCTGCTGTTGATGGCCCAAACCACCTCATGGATGCCCTGTCTTGAGCTGTTAGATCTGTTCTAAATCTGTCCGATTTAGTATGATGATAGCGCCATACAACACGTTGGACGTTATTCTCAATGTGAAGGCAGGACTTTGTCTCCAAGGACTGTGCAGTGGTCACTCTGACCGATACTGTCACGGACAGATACATCTGCAGCTGTCAGATTGGTAAGGATGACATCAAGTATATTTTTTCCCTCTTGTTGTTTCCTTCACCACCTGCTGCAGACTCAGTCTAGCAGCTACGTCCTTTAGGACCTGACCAGCTCGATTTGTAGTACTACTGCCAAGCCACTCTTGGTAGTGGATATTGGACTTCCCCCACCGAGAATACATTTTGTGCCCTCACCATCCTCAGTGCTTCCTCTAAGTGTTGTTCAACATGGAGGAGTATTGATTCATCAGCTGAGATGGACGGTATGGGGTAACCAGCAGGAGGTTTGCTTGCCCATGTTTACTCTGAAGCCACAAGACTTCATGGGTCTGGAATCAATGTTGTGGACTCCCAGACAAACCCCTCTCGACTGCCTAGCAGTGTGCCGCCACCTCTGCCAGGTCTGTCCTGCTGGTGAGACAGGACATATCCAGGGATGGTGATGGTGGTGTCTGGGATATTGCTTGTAAGGTATGATTCTGTCAGTATGACTATGTCAAGCTGTTGCTTGACTAGTCTATGAGACAGCTCTCAGCCATGCTGGCTCTGCCTGCTTAGATTATGATTTTCCAAATGTTCTGCTTTTACTTCCTTCATATTTGACTCCAATACTTTTCCAGAATTCCCTACATTTGGGAATAGATCCCAACGTGCAAAATAGCAAACATGACCCCAATATTCAACCGAGGTGGGAAAGAGAAAACAGGAAACTGTAAGCCAATTAGTCTGACCTTAATACGAGTGAAATTACTAAAATAAAAATGGACTGTGAATAGTAAAGCCCATGTAATGTTCAGTAAGTTCCAGCTTAATGTTAACCCTCTTAAATATGTTTTGCTTTGCTGTTGTTAATAAAGTACTGTCAGTATATCCATTCAATGTTCCAAGTTTGATTTTAATGTTTGTCATAGATCTCATTTTCAAATGATCTTTACCCATTCCTCCCACCCTCAGTCCCGAAAACTCTGTTTCCCAATCCCACTCAACTCCTGTTCCCCATTCCCTATCCGCAGTGCCCACTGTCACCACTGGGAACTTTTAACTGCTCTGCCCTGACTCCCATCCTTTTCACTGGTCCTCTCACTCCTGCTCTGCAATCTCACTGAAGTCCTGGGCTCCATCTATTGGCAGAAGCTAGTCAGTGCAGGTAGTCACAGAACGTCCACTGCTTTGAGTAACCCTTGCTACTAGGTGGAGCCTGAGCACACTAAAACTACATTTGGTGAGTGTGTATTTTTTTTCAATGTTATTCACAGCATTTTATATTGATGTATGTATTTTGAAAATCATTTTATTTGTGAATAATATTTGTAAATTTCTAGGAAGCATTTAATGTGAAGTTTTAATGTATTTTGGCTGATAAAGATGCCAAGTACTTAACTGTACATATTTTTATATTTGTTTTTTATTTTGCAAGTTATTTCAGCTAGGAGTGCACAATATTGCACATATAAAGTACATGTACAGGTGAAGTATTTCAACGTGCGTTTTTTGTTATGTTCAAAGGAATCTAGCTCCATTTTTAATAGTGATAACACAGTGTGGAGCTGGATGAACAGGCCAGACAGCATTAGAGGAGCAGGAAAGTTAATGTTTCGGGTCAGGACCCTTCTTCAGAAATCCCATTTTTAATAGTGTTTTGTTTAGGAAACTGCAATTCACTTAAAATCTTTTTACTAAAAGCCACAATTTTCAGAATTGCAGCCATGACTGCAAATGAGGAACTGCAGTATGGCTGTAGTACTAGAGCATAAGGTTGCAATTTCCAAAGCCACGACAATTTGTGTGAAAACTTGAATACGTGTATGGCATAGCCAGCTTGGACATGTCAAGAAGGATTTGGGCTGCTAAGCAAAAATAAAACTAAAGTATTATATTGACAATGCAGAGAGGACCCTGCTCCTGGATTACCTTTCTTGCCACTAAATTTGAAGGACTTTGTGAAGGCCCTGCTGGTGGCATTTCTCCAGTGCTTTGAGGTTCCTGCTGTGAGTTTTCAAAGCATATAGGAGTGTGGGGAAGAATACTGCCTGGTAAACTATAACCTTTGGCTGGGGTTAGAGATCCTGGTCCTTACAGTCGTTTCCTAAATTGGTAAAGGCTGAATTGTCACATCAGAAGCAATGACAAATGAAGGCTAACAATTGCAGTTTGAACTTGCATGTCAACTTTCTTCAATTCATGTACGGTGCCTAGGGTCCTTTGAAAATCAATATTACCTAACACTCTCCATTTTAAAACAAAATCTGCTTTTTCTTTTTAATTTCCAAAATGCCTCACTTCACATTTCTCCACGACTGCCTTTGTTTCTTGCCCACTCATTCAACTTGTTGGTATTCCTTTGCAGCCTCCTTGTGGCCTACTGGCATCTTGCTTTGTAACATCAGCAAACTTGGATATATTACACAAACAGGATGGCCCTGGTAGACCCATCATTTTAGCCTGTTTAGCCTCGCTTAATTATTTCTTCCTATCTTGATTCTATTTTCTTCCTCTCTCATCCAATCTCTTTGCAGCTATATTCATGATTCTTCTGACACTTCACCTTGGTCCCACAATTTCCAGTTTCCCGGGTCCGGCAGCCACCTCTTCACCATGAAGATCCCTTTACCAGTCTATACCCCCATCAGTATAAAATGAAGGCTCTCTACTTCTTTCTTAACAGGATGCATGAACGGTCCCCATTCACCACCCCACTCCTGTGCCTGGCTGAGCTCATTTTCACTTTGAACAATTTCTACATTAAATTGTCTCACTTTCTCCAAGTCAAAGGTGTGACAATAGTTAACGGTGGGGATCCCATTTATGCCTGCCCCTTTGTGGGGTATGTGGGATCCCTAGTCAAGGCCCTGGTACGTAGACGATATAATTGGTTTTGCTTCCTCCTCTCATCTGAAATTGGAAAAATTTTTTATCAGTTTGTCTTCCATTTGCAATCCCCCCCGCCACCACCTCAACCTGGTCTATCTCGTCCCCTCCCTTGAGTTCTGTGTTTCCATTTCTGAAATGGCTGTCTATCAATATCTATTACAAACCCACCAACTCTGTTACCTTGACTACACTTCGTCACATTCTGCTTCTGGTTAGGACTGTTTCACTCCATTCTTGTAGTTTATCCCTCTCTGTTGCAACTGTCCTCTTTCCTCAACCAAGGAAACCCCAGTCTCCCTTTTACTGTGATAGTGAGGCACTTAACCACTCCTAACCAAGTTCCTGGGTTTCTACCCTCATCCCTTCTGCCCCACCCCCCAGCCCCACCCAAAGCAACGATAGGGTGACCCTTTAGCTCATTTTCACCTTAACTGTCTTTGTCTTCAAAGGATCATCTTTCACCAGTTCTACCACTACTAAACAGGATACCACCACCAAACGCATCTTTCTCTCCCCTCCCTTCCCTTGGCAGCATTCCACAGAATTTATTTCCTCTATGACACCCTGCTGCAATGCTCCATCACTCCTAACACATCCTCACCACCACTTCCCCAAAATCCAGATGAATTGCACCCTCAAGGTCCTGCACATCCATCCTGCTAGTTACAACCTCAAAACTGCTGAATTGTCACATATGATTTCTTTTTCTAATTCCGTATTGAATTTCCTTGATTATGTTACGATTTTCTAACATGCTGTTTTTATATAATCACTGTGTAATTAACATGCACATACCCAGTGGCACTATCCTCCGAAAGTTCTGAATTCACCGCTTTACTGACATCTTTTTTCAAGACATTATGTGGAATTTGTCTGGTCATGGTGACATCTCTTTGCGATTTCAGAAGACTTTGCGAGTCCTTAAGCAGAGAAAGAGCAATATTTCAAATGGTGAAATATTTTTCTTTTTTTGAAGATAACTTCCCAGCAACTAAACAAAAGTCTTTAGATTAAACTGCACTAGCAAAGTTCTGCAAATTTAACCAAGACGATGTGATACAGAATTTAAAGGTAGTGAAATAGTTATTTTTGTCTAGGACCCTGGTCAGGCTACACAGGGAGTTCCATGTTAAGTTCTGGTGCTGGATTTTCCCAGGTAATGGATGCAGGGCCAAGAAGAAAGTGGTTGCAAACTGCAGGGCTCCAAGTCCTGTCTCCATTTCCACCATCTCCCGTATTTTTGAGGGGAGGGAAGAAAGCAGGCCTTAAGACAGGCTTGCTTATATTAAGGACCTAATTTATCTCCTTGGGAACACATTAAGAACACAACCCCAGTAGGTCTTTTTATAAAGATTTCCATGTGCCAACCCAGACTTCAGCAGCTATGTGGTGTCAGATCACTTGGCTGGATGCCAGGGCAGGTCAGAGTTGGGAAGAGGTTCAAAAACAAACATTTTTACTTATTTTTTAAAAGTTTGAAGAGCTTACACTATTGCAGATAAATGTTTCATTACAGGTTAGGGCAGGAGCCAGAAACATGAATTTTGCTAGTTCAGGAGTACCAGATTATTTTAAAAAGCAAATGTTACAATGAAGTACTTACATGTTCCTCAGAAATGCCGAGTCCTAAAGTTTCTGCCACAACAGCAGCTAGATTAAAGCTGTTTTTCTCTATGGATAAATGTTCCTTTAGCTTCTGAGTGGCTGAAGAGGCAAAAAGAAAAAATAAGACACACAATAAAACTGTTTCTTGTTAAAATGGGTACACAACTGAATTAAAATATTTAAATTGAGGCCACAGTGCATACTTCACACAACACAGAAATTACATCCAAAGTTTAATTATATCATATATTTGAAACTTTACACCAAATCAAGCACTTATTACTTTTTTGTGAATTTCTAAATAACAAGATTAAAAATGTTTTGTGTTTACTTTTGACAAATGAAAGTTAGATTTTACTGGAAAACTTTACTTACCAACACATCACATTTATCTGCAGGTATATCAAAGATGCTGTATATTTCACTGTACATTTCTTTCATTTTGTTTAAAGATGTGCCCAATGAAGGTAAGGCTGCATTTACAATCCTTTCCTAGAGGTCTTAAAAGATATAACCAAGTCGGAATGAACCAAGTGTGGGACAGGAACCACATGTAGGCTATTCTGCATGGGTGATTGGTTCCTTTTCCCAAGGGATATCGATTGACTCGATGAGTAGCTTTCATTTCATGAATTCTGACAAAGGGTTACTATACTTGAAACATTAACTCTGCTTTCTTTCCATAGCAGCTGCTAGATTTGTCGAGCACTTCCAACAAGTTCTAGCATTATGATGTGCATTTAGTACGGCACAAAAGGCAGAATGCCATTAGTACCAAAATTTGCAGCATGATTTCTCCAGGTAGAAGTCAAAAGGTAGCTGGCAGAAGTATCTTGAGTGGCATTACGCCAAGATTCTGGAATGAGTTCTGCAATTTTACAGCACACATGGTGGCCATTCAATTATTGTGCCTGCACTGGTTTTCTAAACAAAAACTTTTTTGGATGTAATTTCCCTGTCATTTCCCAGTGTTAAATATACAAACATAGCATGTGAACCTATAACAGGTGTGCAGCTTTGCAAGCTATAAATGTGCACAGGACAGGTTTACCCAAAACTTGAGGTGGATTCAATCCATGGAGTCATAGAAATGTATAGCATGGAAACAGACCCTTCGGTCCAACTCGTGCAATCTTTAAAACCGATCTTTAAGACATGCCTTGGAATGGATTAGCCAAACTTTTGGCCATTGAACGCAAGTCAGTCATGAATAAATTACTGAAAGCAATCTTGAAAATGGGCGGAACATAATACTCCGATGGATACAGAACTTCAAATAATACAAAACAATCCAAATACAAGTAGTAGCCTGGCTGGTGAGTTCAGGAGTAGTAAATATGATTTTCTGTGGTCTAATGGAAGAAATAAAGGAAGGAAGGAAGGAAGGAAGGAAATCAGACAAAATATAAACCAAAAGGCTCCAGACTATGGGGGCATGGGTATTTGGAAGCTGGGTCACTCAAACTAAGGTGAATGTGATACAGTAGTGTAGATCTTGGGATGGGCTAGCCAAATGATAGGAAAGAAGTCCTTTTATAGTAAATTCAATTTTAGGGCAGGTGTCTTACAGGACTTGCCCAACCTCATTTTTTGCAGAACCTTTAGTCAGCAACAAAAAAGGACTATATTTGAATAAAGGTCACAAAGAGAAAATGCAGTCTGGTTCTCAGGAAATTTCAGAATTTTAAAATTGAGATTTAAAGATGGTGTACATTACACTTCAATTATTTCTCAAGGTTGGGGGATGCAGGGTTGAGAATTAAAACATTGCTCTAAATGCAAGGACACATTGAATTTGTGTTTCTCTCAGTTGCAATATAGTTGTAATCAGTTACAATATAAAATAGCAAACTGTACAATGATAGTGGGTCCATGCATTCAACTAACAAGGACCACTATTGCCAAAGCTATCAAGCCAACTTGCAACATAACTGCCACTCATTACAAGTACCAAAACAACTCACATATATACAGACAAATTTTCAGACTTACTTTTTTGTGGGGATTGTTCAAGGTCACAGGAGTCTGCAACTAGGACCTCTTCATCCTGTATAGGTGGAGTTATGCCAGAGAAGCGTGCCAGTAGCATTTTACATGTCTCTATACAATAACAAAACATCAGTTACAACAAATAAACATTACAGGACCCAGTTTATAACATTTTAAAAATTCTCTTGTGGGACGTGAGTGTTCATTGGTTGGCCAACATTTATTACCAATCCCTGATGCCCTTGAAATACTAAAGATTAAAATAGAAATAGGATTGAAAGTATCTGTTTGAATATTGTTGAGATGCTTAATTGGCAACACCAAATTTTAAGAATTTCATGTCACAACATACTGATAGACATTGTTAAACTTCAAATATTACAAATAACATGATCAATTTACAGTACTCAATGCAATTTTTCTCCACTAATGCAAATTACCCACTTTCTGCAATGGTCATATGACTTAATGTGTTATATGGATTCCCAGAATGCAACTGGTAGAAGTATTTTAATGTTTGCAATTGTGTGAATAAATCAACAGCATTTTGAAATGTAGACTTCTGGCAGTAACCAAGGATTATATTGAGTTTTACAATATACAGTAATGTTAATGTATCACAAATCTCATTAATACCATCATCAGACTGTGGCCCTGAAGGTTCAGCATGAGCATGCTCTGTGTAGCGAATATGACAATTTTCCCTTCTCCTTCGCATTCTGCTAGCTATAGAGGTGGAAAGAGATAAAATTGGAGAATCCGGGATTATTCCATCATCATGATCTGCTGCTCCGGTCACTTCCTGCTGTTGCTCCCTGTCATCAGAAATAAAAATTAGCTATGCCACAAAGTTTAAAAATGAAGTGACATAAGATGAGCAAATGGACATATGACTTACTTCAGTTGATGTTCTAGTGATTCAAGCTGATCACTAAGTTTTTTGTTTTCTTCCTGAAGGTTAATCTTGTCATTCACTGTTGATTAAAGACAACGATGGAGATTGGTAGAAAGATAAGAAAAAGCTTTCTTATTTGAAAAAAAATACTGTCAGAAGACAAATCCTCTCCTAAATATCCACTCACTAAGTTCAGTAATAAGCTTTAGATTCTGCTGTCGAATATTTTCAAATTCCAGCTGCTTCTTCTTCATGTGTTCTTCAGTAACTGCACATCTGTCACACAAGCCAGCTCGCAACCTGCAACAGATATGGGTCCTCAGTATCAACGAAGTGGATAATGAGAAGTGATAGCAAATTTGTTGAGAATGAATTCAACAATTATAGTATAGTCAATTGAACACAGCATGTAGTTTCTTTGACCAATTTTAATGCAGACATAAATTCCACAGAGCACTAAGAGTAGCTTGTAAGATTCCAGAGTTAATAGTACTGTCTAAATAACTTGCATTACACTGGCACTTCAAGGTGTTATATGATACGCAAGACAAGAGTTTGTATACTTGATTTCTGATTTAGGTTATTCCTGATGGTAGGCTAATGCTCATGAATGTACAAAGTAGTCAGGCACCATCCTAAATGCTCATCTCAGACTACAGACTGGCTGCAAAAACTATTTCTCAGCTTCTACTTGTAAAGGTTAGAGACAGGGCACTTCCCTATTGAAGCAACCTTTCTTACTTGCATTCAAGTGCAGCGTGCTTTCAAGCTGGAAAGCCTACAAATCGCCCTCCATCTACAGGAGTCCACTTGTCATCTAAAAGTGGGCAGCAAGCTTAAACTCTGACTGTTACTTGCCTGCTCCCCCTCCACGCCACCTCTTCCCAGGAAAATCACAAACAGCAGCTTGCCACGCACTGCGTGTTTATGGCCCAATATCCAGCTTTTACAAGTTTGTAAGGAGAAACTTGCCATTCCTGTCTGTAAAAATCATCATGACAGAGTTATAAACTTAATGTTAGCAAATTACTTGTGATTAATGCAGTTTATTCACTGCTGAACAATCTACAGAAGCGCTCAGGCCGTAATTGTTGACTTCAACACAGAGAAAATAAACAAGTTGTTGCTGGGAGAAAAAAAGACATTTTGTTTAAGTGTTCTGTCTTACACTCATAAGGACAATTTGCTAAGAATTTCAATTTAAGAGAAAAGCCAACATTTATACTGTATAACAAGAGTGCTGATTGATTGGCAATGAACTGATTGGTAAAGGTGTTGCCACGGAGAATGCAGCAGTTAATTATCCCAAAACCAAACCAAATTTGGGCTATCAATAGCATAGTTTAACCTACAGGCATTTAAGAACACTCAAGCTATCTAATGAATGTTTTCAAGAGGATATTAAATCCAAAGTTGCGCCAGTTTCCTTTTCAACTGTATTGAATAGAATAGAATAGAATAGAATACAACAGCCTTTATTGTCACATGCACTCATCTGTACTGTCACCTCTCAGCGCCATCTTAGGTACAGCGTACCTCGGTACAGATACTTTAAGTGTTGTTACGGAGTTAAAAAAATGGTAAGAATGGGAACGGAGTTTAAAATTCGAGAATGATAATAAAAAGTGACTATAAAGTACTTAACTTAAAGTGAGACAGTCTCACAATTGGATGGACATTTGTACAGAGATTGAACAGATTGGTAATTTACACCATGTCCAATGCTACACCTGCTCCGAAGTGCACAAATGTATTTTTTTTTTATTTATAATGAGTCATACAACACAGAAACAGTCCCTTCAGCCCAACTCATCAGTGCCAATTAAACATTCCAATTTGACCTAGTCCCATTTGCCAGCATTAGGCCCATATCTGTCTAAATCCTTTTTTCATATACCCATCCAGATGCATCTTAATTGTTGCAATTGTACGTGCCTCCACCACTACTCAGGCAACTCATCCCATACATGTACCACGCTCTATGTGAAAAACTTAACTCTCACGCCCTTTTCAAATCTTACCCCTCTCACCTTAAACTTGTGCCCTCTAGTTTTGGATTCCCCCATGCTAGGCAAAAGACCTGACTATTCACCCTATCCATGCCTCTCATGATTTTATACATCTCTAAGTCACATGTCAGCCTGTGACGCTCCAAGGAAAAAAGCTTCAGCCTATTCAGCCTCTCCCTGTAACTCAAACCCTCCAGTCCCAACAACATCCTCGTAAGTCTTTTCTGCACCCTCTCAAGCTTAACAACATCCTTCCTATATAAGGACAACCAGAATTGTACACAGTAGTTCTAAAAGTTGCCTCTCCAATGTCCTGTACAGCCACAACATGGTAACCCAACTCCTATACTCAATGTTCTGACCAATGAAGGCAAGCGTTCTTCACCACCATTTTATTAGTTTACGCCCTATTTGGCTTAAATATATGACTGCTCCATAGAGAGTTTCTTTCTAAAACACAACCACACATTAAATGCACCTAAGTGGACGTTGTTTGGCATGGCAATCAATGATGGCATGAAACAAATAATAAATCTCTCTGACCATGTACTGCCTGAAAGGTAGCAGATTCACCTTGCGCATAGATTCAATTTTGGCACATTTTCTTCCCACAGCAAATGGGAACAGGTATTTGTGGTGTTTGACTTCCTCCAAACCTAACTATCCCACTACAAAGCAGTGTCCGCTAAGGACAATGAATTCTTCGAGGTACGCCCGGCTGTCCTAGTTCACATATAATTACAGGATTTCAAATGAATTTCAGAAACAAACACATGAATGACCTGTAGGTAATCACTTTTGCACCTGAAAAATACAGTTTCTCTCAAATTATCCTGATAGGGAGAGGTATTTAAAAGGTTGAGCAACCTTCACCAAAAGGTGAAGTGACCCAATTCACACTGCAACTATACTCTAGCAACATGAGTGGCGTTTGCCACCAATAGGATGCTGCCATCAAGCTAAAAAGAAGCTTTCACTGTTGAACAAATGAGTAATAAACATCTAAGATCATATTGGATAATGGAGCAGGCTTGCCAGACTGAATGGCCTATTCCTATTCCCCCGATTCTGCATTTCAAAGACTGGTGGATCATATCAAATAGTATATCCCTTTGGCTGCTTGCAATAAAGATCAAGCCCAATCAATTCAGGGTTGTCAGGTGAGCTTGCAGTGTGGTACACTTGCATGCACTGGGGTACACTTGCATGCACTGGAAGCTGCAGATATTAAAACACATGAGTCTGTTAATTGCAGACAGAAAAAGACTGTACATGCAACTGTGCCAACTTTAACAAAATAAGATGTTGCCAGGGTTAGAGGCTCTGAGCTATAGAGAGTCATTGAATAGACTGGGGCTATTTTCCCTGGAATGTCAGGGGCTGAGGGGTGACCTTATAGAGGTTTATAAAATCATGAGGGACATGGCTAGGGTAAATAGGCAAGGTCCTTTCCCGGAGGTGGGTGAATCCAAAATTAGAGGGCATAGGATTAAGGTGAGAGGGGAAAGATTTAAATCGGACCTAAGGGCAACTTTTTCACGTAGAGTAGTGCATGTAGGGAATGAGCTGCCGAGGAAGTGGAGGAGGTTGATACAATTACTCCATTTTAAAGGCATCTGGATGGGCACATGAATAGGAAGGGTTGAGAGAGATACAGGCCAAATGCTGGCAAGTGGGATTAGATTTTTATGGGATATCTAGTAAGCATGGACAAAGTTGGACTGAAGGGTCTGTTTCTGTGCTGTACATCTCTAGGACTCTAAGCAATAGCCATTCACTTGTTCATTTCTCAAGACAAGCCTTGGCCAAACAGTGTCAACCTACCCATTTCAGAACTGAAACAAAACCCGGCAGTTAACTCTTAATCATCATTAACATGTACATTTTCAATGGCAATGCATCTATCAGCATTCAATTGCTAACCAATCTGCACTGTCCACTCATAAATGTTAGTTTTCCCTTAAATTAGTATTCTTGCAAATTGTCTTGATGGCGAGAGTCAAAAAGCTTGAACAAAATGTGTCTTTTTTTCAGGAATACTCCAGTTCTGTCATACGCAACAAAAATCTTGAAATTACTTAAAAGCTGCAATTTTTTAAAAAATCACAGATCTTCAATCAATCAGGTGCAAGGACCCAAAAACTTATGCCAACCCTAGCAGACTCCAGCTGGGTGGAAGACTCTAACTAATGTTCTCAGGGTAGTTTTGTTGGGCGAAAACTCTGCCTAAGTTTAAAATACTTTTTTTTGTTATTCAGGGAACAGGGATTTACAAGTGTTGTAGTTCCACTACCCTGATTCTCCTTTTGTACAATGCCGATGCGGGCACATTGGGTATATTATTTCATCAAGAAAAGATGTGGGACTCATGTAAGAGAAGCTGTGTGGTGCCTGTTAAGAAGTTGTGTAGAGTAATTGTGAAATGGAAGGCAGGAAGATAGAATTCGTCTGTTGAAAAGATGATTAGGTAGAAGAGTGTGTGGTTCCTGTAAGAGGCAAAATGCTTTTCTAAGCTTAGTGATTTATACAAAAAATGTGTCTGTACATAGCTGAAGATGTACAGCTAGTTCTGAAATTGAAACATGTATCAATTGGCTGTGTGATTGGAAACTTTAGGCTTGTTTTAAAGTTTTAGCAACTAGCTGGAATCAGCCAATTAATTTAAACCAAAGTACTTAGCAATTGAAAGCCAATTGAATTTAAATCTGATGGCTTTGACTACCTCGGACCGATGCTATTGTAAGAAAATTGATATGTCACCCAAGGTATACAAGGAGAGGGTTTTTGAAAATCAGTGAGAGAGCAAACCAGCATCTGAGAAATAAGCATCTACCTCTCACAAGAAATCAGTAACCTAAGAAAGCACACCTATCCATAACTTCCAGCTAAGAGTCCTCACAGAAGACTGCACAGAGAAAAACATCCCTGACAGCTGGATCAGCACAAGAAAGGCGTTTATGACTTGAGGACAGCAGAAGAAGGGTGTGTAGAATTTGTGAGACTAAGTTTTAATTTATTTTCTGATTGCTTGGGTTTACATAAGTAGGACTTCTGTTTATTGTAACAGCATAGCTGTAGAATTTGGTTCAGATAGGAAATAGTTAGTAGTTAAGGGGGAATTGTTCAGTTTGTTAGCAATTCTGTTAATTTGTCCACTGTTAGGGTTAAATAAATAAATTGTTCCTTGTTACTTATAAAGTGAATATCAGGAATTTTCTTTCATTTAACACCCCTTCTCCGTAACATCCTGATCTCTCAGACAGGCAATCTTATTTTCAGGCAATTTTATGATAGTCCTCTTTACAAGAGGACACCCAGAAGTTACTTGCAATGATTGGGGGAAGGGCCAGGGAGAAAGACGAGCAGCACCCTGTAGCCTTGGATTGTTTACTCAAATTTTCGTTTTAGTAGGACGGATGTGTTGGCCTTGGACAGAGTATAACATAGACTTAGAAGAGTAATAACATAACCCCTGAAGTCCAGGTATGTGGCAAGATCATACAAATTAGGCCTGTTTTCTACAGAGTTTAGAAGGTTAAGGGGTGTTCTGATCAAAGCTTCAAGATAATGACAGGAAAAGAAAGGGCAGATAAAGATAAACTATTTCCATTGGTTGGAGATTCTAGAAGTAGGAGTTATTGTCTAAAAGTTAGGGTCCAGACAGTACAGGACAGTTGTTAGGAAGCATTTCTACATACAAAGGTTTGTAGATGTTTGGAACTCTCTTCCATAACTGGCAGTTAATGCTGGATCACTTGTTAACTTTAAATCCAAGACGGACAAAATTTTGTTAAGCAAAGATATAAAGGGATATGGGCAAAAGGCATGTATGTGGAATTAGGCCACAGATCAGCCATCCTCTCATTGAATGGTGAATCAGGCTTGAAGAGCTGAATGGACTATTCCTTATACTATGCAAGTTGGCTACTACCACAATCAAAGGGAAATCCATTGTTTCAGAAGTACAATTCACTTCAAATTTTCAGCGACATTCAGGCATACTCATGGACTCTGACCCTACTGCTCTTTGTGGCAAGCAGTTTCAAAGACTCTCAATCTGCTGAAAAACAAAATTCCTCCTTTCTTCAGTCTTAAATTGGTGTCCCTTTATTCTGAGACTATGCCCTCTAGTTCTAGCCTCTCCCATGTATGGAAACACTCTGAAAAACATTTTTAAGAATTCTATGTGTTTCAATGAGGTTACCCCTCACTCTTCTAAACTCCAATGAGTAAAATGCCAATCTCTTTAACCTTTACTCGTAAGACAATCCCTTCATATCAGGGATCATCATAGTGAACATTCGCTGAACTGTTTCTAATGAAATAATATCTTTTATTAAATAAGGGAATAAAAACTGTTCATAATACTCCAGATGTTGTCTCACCAGCAGCTTGTACAGCAGTAAGATTTCACTACTCTTATATTCCAACCCCTTTAAAATAAGGGCTAACATTCCATGGTCTTCCTGATTACCTGCTGCACCTGCGTCAGCCTTCTGCTTCTTGCATAGTCCTCATGGACTGTAGCATTCTGCAGTTTAAGATCTGTGCTGTTTTCTTGAAATTTTGTAAACCCTTTCTTTTAGTTTTATGCTGTCCCTCATCTCTTTAATTGTTCATGACTTTTTTTTTCTGTGAAGTGGAGCTTTTGCCTCTTGCGGGTATAAACTGGCCCTGGATTGTGTTAAAATGTTCATTGTTCTTCAGTTGTTTTCGATATTATCACTTTCAAATGCTACATTGAAATCAATCATGTTACGATCACAACCTGATAGACATTCACACACAATTAGATTCCTAATTAGATCCAGCTCATTACTCATTACTATATCCAATATTACTTGCCCCATTGTTGCATCCAGGACATATTGCCGTAGGTGGTTATCCTGGACACACTGCAGAAACTCACTACCTTTCTGGCAGGTGCTTGTCTGCCTCTCCCAAGCCATGGAAAAGTTTAACTTTTCCATTAATACTACACTGTTTTTGCTACACACTTACCTAATTTGTGAATTTACATAATTTGGCACTTCAGATCTTCTACGAGAGGGCCTATATACAACACCTATTATAGTTTTAGAATCTTTCTGTTCCTTACCTCCACCTATACGTTCTCCACTGGATGCTTTCCGCTCATTATATCCTCACCATTAGTGATTTTGTTTCTAATCAGTAATGGTACTCCACCCCATCTGCCATTTTTTCTGTCCATCCTATAAATCTTATGGCCTGGTATATTTAGTTCCCAGTCCCAACTATCCTAAAGCCATGTCTCAGTAATGACCTGGGCCACAAGGGCAGAACTCAGTGGTAATATGTTCATGAGCAGTGAGACTTTAGCACATGAATCTAGACTGGCTCTTCATTTTATCACTAAGAGACAGAAGAAATGCACCTGGCAGATGCAGGTTTCCAGATAAAACATTAAAACCAATTTACTGCCAGTCTTCGCAACTGATTTTCCTATAGGTGCTTCCTCTTGATCGCATAAGGAAAACTGATGTCACTTTCCAATAATGGGAACTATCTGCCTATCTAAAAATGGCACTGCAGAATGTAAAATGAAGTAGCCTGCTCAACAAAATCAAATTAGTTTATTTTCTTGTCTCTGAGAAGGCTCCCTCCCTCACTCTCCCACTCCCCCTTCAGAGTCCCAAACTCCCAGCCTTTCATCATTTTTGGGCCAAAGGAAACTGGCTACATGCCCCCAGTGCAGACAATCTTACCTCTAGCTGCTCTTGCTGCAGGCCTCCCTACCCCTGGCCTTTGTCCCACACTAGCTCCAGGGTCCCAGCCTCTGCATCACTTTGCTGACCCCACATCAGCAACTTAATGTGCTGATGATGACAACACCATGCATGGAACACGACGATGTCATTGGTGCGTGCAAAGACGTTTCATCACTGGCCACATCTGCGTATGAATGATGGCCATATTGCGACATGGATAATCATTCAGAATCTTCGCAGCATTATACGCTTTTTTTCTTTCAGTTCTCCTTGCTGTATTTAGTATAAGTTTTAAGAGTAATCCATGCAATCAACAGTGTTAGTTGGTTCACAAACTTCGCAACGTCAACTACACCTACTAATAAAGTAGCAGATATCGTACAATGGAAATTATGCCTTGATTTCGATCGGAGGAATGGGGTGGCAGATACTGTAGGGATCCTCTGAAGCCTGTACTACTTTATCTCCAAAGCTTCATTTAAATAATCAAGGAAAGCCTCCCTTCCTAAACCAACAGGACGGGCATTAATGTGAAAAGTGCACTGTAGCACTGATGCAGTCATTGGGCAGTGATTTTAAAAGTTTAATTAGGCCCTCGTTTGCCTCTACTATGCATTACCTAACACTGTAGGTCCATCAGGTGGGACCACCATGTCCATTGGCTTGTAAATGCACTTGGTGTGACCCATTCATGCACCATTCTCACTTGGAAAATTTAAGGTCTCATCATTCAAATACGATTTCTCCAGTGAAATTTCTTTTTATTGCATCTCTGTTACGATTTAATTTACTTCACTTAAGACAACTGGAGAAGTTTGGATAGTTATCCTTGGAGAAGGCCGAGAGGATATCTTATGGGGTACTCAAAAAATCATGACAGCTCTGGACAGAATAGCTCGGAAGAAGCTCATCACATTTGTGAAAGGATGGAGAATGAGAGGACGCTGATTTAAAGTAATTATCAAAAGCAATAAGTAAAATCTTTTCATGCAGTAAGTGATTAAGATCTGGAATGCACTGCCTGAAATGTAATGCAGGCAGGTTCAAAATGGTATCAGGGTTATAGAAAAGGCAAGAGAATGACATCAAGTGAAATGCTTATTTGTAGGGCTAGTGCATGTCAGAAGGGTAGACTGATCTCTTTCTGAACTGTAATGATTCTGTGAATTTGCAATGTTACCCCTCTCAATCTGAGCTACAGAGCAATTATTTTGTAAATTACATCACATCTTACCTGTCTTCTAAAACTTTAATGTTGTCATGTAATGCTTTCTGTTGTTCTCTTAACTGCTGATTTTTGTTATAGTATTCTTCAAGTCTCTGAGCATCTCTGTAAATACAGAATTGTATATTAACATAGGATCCAAAACTCAGGGATCAATTATTAAAGGAAACTTGCATTCCACTCTTATCTGAATGTCAAAATGGAATTTTGATTATCCCAGTTCTGCACTGATCTCCACCTAGTTTACAAGTAGTCTGGTAGACAATATATGCTTGTCTATGCATGCAGCATGTCAATACAAGTGTAAATCTAGTGCACATCGATGGTTCAATCTGAGTGAATGTTCAAGAATGTATACAAATTCATAAAAGAGATACAGACAGCAACACTTCAAAGTTGTGCAAGTATTATACTGATTAATTAGTTTATTTTAAATTCAGAACTGAGATTAAATAAACAACTAGCCACATTTAATTTTTATTCCTCCCTTTTTCATTGTATATAAAGAGCAGGCTCTTCAGCATTTCTCAGTTGCATCTGGTGCAATATCATGATTATTTGTTCCAAATGTGAACATTCAATTAAAATTAAATTTCGGCCCCCAGTGTCTTCTGATGCTAAAGTCCTATCATGGATTTTACATGAAAAGACTAAAATCCACAAAACACAGAATATTGTAGACAGTTAAATGAAAATAACATGATTTGTTTTGGTGTTAACAGCAGACCAAATATTCTGAAATAGTCTGCCATTAATTTGTAAAATATTCTGCAGCTGCACTTCACAATACTTTAGAACTTTTCAAGCTATGACATGTTTACTTGCTGCAGTGAGTGAAACCTAAACGCAGGTTTAAATGGATCCTTTCATCATCAGTTTTATTCATCTGCCCCATTTATATGAATGTGAAGATATAACATTTGGAAAATTCCAAGAAGTGTTTGCTATTTTAAAGCCTTTTTTTAAAAAAAATAAAGTATCAAAAGTAAAATTAAAAATAAAACAAACTAAAATAAAAACAAACTAAGAGATATTTAGTTTCTTTCAACAAATGAGATTGACAGGTTGCCTTAGAAGTTCAGACTTGCCAATGGCCTTTGCCCCAGTATCTAGAGAATAATTAGCTGTAATGATCAGCAAAGCTCTACATAAGAGTCCCATTGTCATGCTTGTTATCTCACAGAAATATTAAACTTCAGGAATTTGGGGGAGTCAGTAAGTGACTTTTGTTAAGGACCATTACTTTGACAATGAGATACTTGTATAATGATTAGTCATTTTGCAAGGAATGTAATGAATCACAACAAACTATTCAATGAATCTGCTGGATTTGTCCATTTGTGAGCTGTATTTAAAATTGTTAAGAAGGAATAAAACAAATTCATTTCAAGCTTAAAAACAATTCAGGTTATACAAAGTTAAGTTGCAATTTCACAGAAGTAGATGTATTCAACAATAACATCATAAAGAAACATCAAAAGGTCAATCATCTAACAGGCACAGGCACATATGCAAGCTTTATGCCAGAACTACTTTTTCTTGTCCTCTTGTGATAGACTGCTATACATGATTTCCTTTCTCATACTCTACACAAAAAAACCCTAAAATGATCCTGTATCAAGTACACAATAAACATTCTAAGAAACCAAAAATCAGACCCTAGTAAGCTCTGAAAAGATGGTCAAGAGGTGGTGGTGTGCAATTGATAGAAAGACCGACCTACCATTCACAGAACAAAACAACCATTAGTCATCCTTCACACACTGAAAGTTACTCAGACAGTGCAAAATCTAGCAGTATGGTTCCTGTTGAGAAGCAAATAATTTTCTATAAGCTGCTTTGTTGTAATGAGCAATTAGCTGTCAATATTTCCAACCTTAACTTCTACATGTTGTAACTCCACCAGGACAGTAGCAGATAGCAAGAATAACAAGCGATTTCTGATGCAGAGACCATGAATGAACAGTTTTCTTAAACTGAGAAGCAACTTAAAGAGGAGCCCTGAGGAAGTGGTGAAAACTGGACAATTGCATCTCAGAAGGCCATTTGGCCAGCAAAAGCAATCCAAAACACCAAACAGCTTCATTTACTAGTCACAACTCATTTATAACAACAGCACAACTGATTGAGCTGGTTGGGTCCGAAAGGACGCAGCTGCTAGACTGGGTCTGCAGCAGGTGGTGGGGGAACCAATAAGAGGGAGAGACATATTTGACCTCATTCTCACCAATCTGCTGACTGCAGATGCATCTGTCCATTACAGTATTAGTAACAGCAACCACCACACAGTCCTTGTGGAAACAAAGTCCCGCCTTCACTATCACCTGTGTTAAATGGGACAGACTTCAAACTGATGTAGCAACTCAAGACTGGGTGTCCATGAGGTGTTGTAGACCATCAACAGCAATACAATTGTACTCCAGCGCAATCTACAAGTACAAATCACAACCTCATGGCCCAGCAAATCCCCCACTCAACCATTACCATTAGGCAGGGGATCAACCCTAGTTCAATGGAGTGTGCAGGAGAGCATACCAGGAGCAGCACCAGAGATACCTAAAAATAAGGTGTCAATTTAGTGAAGCTTCCAAACAGGACTACTTGTACGCCAAACAGTATAAGCAACATGTGATAGACAGAGCTAATTGATCCCCAAGGATCAGATCCAAGCTCTCCAGGCCTGCCACATCCAGGTGGAAGCATTTGCAGCAATCTTCAGCCAGAAGTTCCAAGTGGATAATCTATCTTGGCCTCCTTCAGTGGTTTCCAGCATCACAGATATCAGTCTTCAGCCAATTTGATTCATTCCACACATGTTCTCAAGAAACTTGGAGGCAGTGGACACCGTAAAGGCTATGGGCCCTGACAACATTTCAGCAACAGTCCCGAAGACTTGTGCTCCAGAATTTGCTACTCCCCTAGCCAATCACTTCCAGTACAGTTACAACATCGGCATCTACCTTAATAAAAATGGAAGAATTACAGATGCTGTAAATCAGGAACAAAAACAGAAGTTTCTGGAAAAGCTCAGCAGGTCTGGCAGCATCTATGAAGACAAATCAGAATTAACATTTCGCATACGACGACCCTTCCTCAGAACTGATGGTAGCTAAGAAAATGTCAGTTTACATGCAGAAGATATGGTGGGGGAGGGGGTAAGAAGTAAAGAATAAGTGGGGATAGAGCCCAAAGAGAGAGAAGAACAGTTGGACAGACAAAGGAGTTGTTAATGATCTGGGGTCTTTTTTTGTGGGCATAACGTAGATGTTCTGCGAAGTGGTCACCCATTTCTCCTCTACATTGGAGAAACGAAGCGTAGACCCTGAGCTTCCAGTTGCCTAGCACACCACCCTGTTCCCTGGCCAACATCTGTGTGTCAGGCTTGCTGCAGTGTTCCAGCGAACCTCAGCACAAGCTGGAAGAGAAACATTTCATTTTTAGTTGGGGACCCTGCAGCCCTCCAGACTCAACATCGAGTTCAATAATTTTAGGGCCTGAACTCACCCATGTCCTAGCCTCCTACCTCACACACCAGGCCTTGTTATCACATAGCCTGCCATTACACACTACCTTCTGTTAGCCACCAGCAGTCTCCGTTAACAACTAGTCACCCTCCTAGCCAGATTGTTATCAACTCCATTGTCTGTCCAACTGTTCTTTTCTCTCTTTGGAGTCTATCCCCACCTGTCATTTACTCCTTACCCTTACCCTCCCTCCCTCCCTCTCCCTCTCTCTCTCCCCACCCCACCTCACCCTATCTTCTGCATATAAATTAACATTTTCTTAGCTACCATCAATTCTGAGGAAGGGTCACCAGGACCCAAAACGTTAACTCTGATTTTTCTTCACAGATGCTGCTGAGCTTTTCCAACAACTTCTATTTTATTCCTGTCATCTTTGTTTAGTTTTTGATATGGCCAATCATATCTTTTTCTACATTGGACTTAGAATTTAAAAAATTAACCATGTACCTTTAATGAATACAAAACTATCGAATTATTATGAAAGAAAAAAACCTGTTCAATAAAAATGTAATATTGATCATCACTCTCGGCTTATAATATGATAATAAAGATGCTAAACTCTGCTAAATAACCCAAAATACACACACCAGGTTGAGAAGGGGTGAAAACAGATTATGCAGATGGATTCCCATAATTCAGTGGAAGTGTTCCTACGTCTGAACCCAGGAGGTCTAAGTTCAAGTCCCGCTTGCTTTACAGGTATATAAATAACACATTTGAACAGGTTGATTAAAAGGATCTACACTGTGCAGAGATTAAAAAAAAAACTCAGTCCAAAAGCCTTAATACTTGAATACAATAAAGTTTAAGTTGTTCAAACGTCTAACACTCTGATGTTCTGACACAGATGTCGATGGAGATTTTTGTAGATGCAGTCATTCAGGAATTACCAGCAAGCCCTTTAAAAGCTTCCCATGCAATAGCTGCAGTGGAGTTCCAGGTACCCTCCACTCAACCGACAACAAGATAATTTCCAGAAAAGGGAGAGCTGAGATTCTATCACCAGGCTTCTTTCCAACTACCCCAAATAATATCCAAAGCAGAAGCTAGTATCTAACAGTCATAAATGCAGGCAAAGGGCTTCCATTATAAGATGACAAGCAACAGCCTTGTGAAAATAAGTGTCCTATGATTTCCTGCTCCCTCCTGCTTCATTCCCATTTGGTAGTGTTGCTGGGGTCTACCATATTATGTCTGCTGTAGCACTGAAGTCTAGGGTAGCCACTCCTATTTCACTTTGGAGGTCAATTCTTTTGACTATGTTTGTACCAAGACTGAAGCGAGTCAGGAGCTGAGTAGACCAAGCAGAACTCAACCTGAGCGTCAGTGAGCAAGCTATTCCTTTGCAAGTATGACAGCATTTGACAATGAATACTGGCATCGTTTTCCTTCTGATTTTGGTAATTAGCCAGGTGGGATTATTGGTGCTTTTTGTGCACGTGGCACACCTGGAAAATTTCCACATTGCCAGGTAGATGGCAGTACTGGAGCAGGTTGGTTGGGGATTTGGCACAAATCTTGGTATAGCAGGAATGTTGTTGTCAGAACACTTGGCTTTTGCAGTATCCAGTACTTTCAGAAAGAGGGTTGGTTAGTTCAGTTGACTGGATGGCTGGTTTGTGATGTAGAGTGGTGCCAACAGTATGGGTTCAATTCCTGCACCAGCGGAGGTTACCATGAATCAACCTCCCTGTCTTCTTTTCCCTCTCTCTCTCACACACACACAACTTTATCTTTACTTTCAGAAGTTTAAGGATATCACATAAAGTAAATCGAATTGATACAAAATTGCCATTGAAATAGGATGATGTAGACCTAAGGAGGATGTGGTTTTGGATCATCCACTTGCCATTTCTGGCTGAAGACAGAGTCAAATGCTACAGTATCTTCTCTTGCACTGAAGTGCTGGGCTCCATCACCATCCAGGGTAGGATATTTGTGAACTTTTTTGCTCCAATGAGTTGTTCAACTGGCCAACACCATTCACAACTGGATGTGAGGTGAACAGAGCTTAGATTTGATCCATTGGTTGTGGGATCCCTTGGCCCTCTCCATCACTTGCTACTTATGCTTTTTGACACACAAGTTGTCCCATGTTTTAGCTTCACCGGGTTAAAACTTCATTTTTAGAAATGACTGGTGCCACCTCTGGTGTGCAATGCTATGATAGAGAACTTTCTTCATGTGAAGACCAGATTATGATTCCACAATGACTGTGTAGTGGTCATTCCAATTGTTATTCTCACGGACAAACGCATCTACAGCAGGTAGATTGGTAAAAATTAGGTCAGGTAAGTTTCTCCTTTTTTTGCCGGTTCCCTTATCATAAGCCACAAACCCATACTAGCGGTTATGTCCTTTAGGAGTTGGCCAGCTTGGGCAGTAGCGCTATCACTGAGCCACTGTGTGGCCCAGCCATCCAAAGTACATTCAATGCTACGCCCACCCTGACAGTTTCCTCCAAGCAGTGATGGGGGCAGAAGGTGGTAGAGATGGGTGTTTGGGGGAGATAGGGGCAGGTGCTAATCAGCAAGCTGTTTCCTAGTAAATGTTTTACTTAATGCTAGCAGACATCATGAGGTTTATGATGTTAAGCCAATGTTGAGGACTCACAGGGCAACTGTCTCCCAATTGAGTACCACTGTGCCACCTCTGGTGGTGGAGGGACTGGAGCACAGTAATATTCATGGCTTCATATCTTACAGACAATATCAGGTTGTTGCTTGACACTGTATAGGACATCTCTTCCAACGTTGGCACAAACCCCCTAGATGTTAGTACGGGCTCTTGGCAAAGTCAAGTTTGTTTTTTTCCTTTCTGGTCTAAAGCCATGTGTCGACCAGTCAAGACTTTCTTCTCTAAAGGAAATTAATGAACCAGATGAAGTCAGAGTAATACAGCATGGAAACAGACCCTTCAGTCTAACTCGTCCATGCCAACAAGAGTTCCCAAAACTAAACTAGTCCTATCTGCCTGTGCCCCACCCCACCCCCATTCAGCGATACCTTTTTGCTGACAAAGTACATGTTTGAAAGTATGGTTGTAGCACAGGTTCATTGAAACAATTTCCGTCTTTAGCTGCTGTAGACAGGAACAGAACTACAGCTGGTGTCCTAAACATAGCCCTCTAGACAAGAACCTCACTAAGGTGGTACTGAACAGGAAACATTCAGCGATTATAATCTTTTGGAATCTTCTTAGGGATCTAGACTCTCCTGTAGCCCAGTTTGTAAGGCTCTTATCTGAACTCCTTAACAGACGAATCGCCTGTCTACATCCAATCCTCCTCTAGAGAAAGCTCCCCTTTCTGAAGGACCAGGTTGTGCAATGCACAGCAAATGAGTGTTGTATGACTGGTGTATGTTGGAGTGTGCTATCTGGTCTATCCTAATATCTGACTGCATTCTAAGCAAAACAATGATCTGGTCAACACTTGGCTATCATTGTACATACACTCAGGATCCACCATTAACTTCTTACTGGAGTCATCAACCAGTTTTTTAAAAATTAGATTTTGTCACTGAGCAGCCAGCTATCCAAAGATTCTGGGCCAGGAAGTATTCTTGGTATTTTGGAGGGTTTAAGGATGTCAGCACCATGCACAAACATGTATGACTCTGGTATCCTTTTTGGTTAATTAATGTCTCCAGCTGTCAGCTGGCACTTTCATAAGTGCATGGGTATAATTAATTATCTCTTGTACCTTTGGAAACCAGCTGATAAAGCTGCTAGCTACTTCCACTTCCCTTGCTTTGTCAGGTGTAACAGATAGCTAATGATAGACATGCCCAAACATGGCATCAACGAAGACCTTAATGCAATGATTTGCTGCAGAGTGGGTGATCCTACTAAGATATTCACGTGTTGCCTGGAAGAGCTTGAAGACACAGAAGTTCAAAATCACTTTTTATGGAGGCTACAGGCTTTGGTTTGCCAGTCATGCAATTCAAGGTTATCTCATCCAGCAGCATATCACACACAGACATGAGATTCTTTTGATAAGTTTTAGGAGAGAAGTCTTTGTTGTTCCACCATCAGAAGGCAAGATGTCTGACCCTATACATGGAGTTAGCAGAACATTCCTCCGCATACATCTGCCTGTCCCCTTTTGCATCCCCTCCTCAGCCATCACACCTCTGCACGTGGCGAACCTTCCTGCATTTCATGGCACACACATCCCTTGCCAGCTGGTCTCCTCTTTCTCCACAGCACTGCAAGAGGTGCCTCCCCCAGAACTGTGAATTCGCATATCAGACACCAACTTAGCGCACTTGGTTTTTGCTCCCTTCGCCAAAAAACTTTCCTGATCCAGAAGTAAACATTTGCATGAATATGCAAGTCTCAGCAGACACTTGTTCAAGTCAGACATCACCCCACATGCAGGCTTTTCATCCATGTTTTCAACAATCCATGAAAGAAACTGAAAAAAAATCACTCTGGCCATATTTCTCTTGCACCTCACTTCATTATGGCATGTGCCATGTTTTATTCCAGTTAAATGAATTCTAAGCATCATTAATCGCTTGTTAGTTAGGTATTTTAAAACTAATAGGCGAGCTGCCGAATTCAGCACCCGCCCAGGATTTTATCCATGGGTAAGAACAACAGCAGTCCAGCATTGCAAACACATAATTTAGCCCATATAGCATGCAGAATGACTTGAGGAATTTCAGAAATGACTGTACAGAAATGTAAAATTAATTTTCTTCCTGTTTATAACAGGAAGAACTAAACTCCAGTTCTGAAGAAGGGTCACTGGACCCAAAATATTGATTCTGATTTGTCTCCACAGATGCAGCTAGACCTGCTGAGTTTCTACAGCAACTTCTGTTTTTTGTTTCAGGTTTCCAACATCCACAGTTCTTTTTTTTTTAAAAAACTATTGACTGCGACAGTGTAAGTTGGTCACTGAAAGAATATTCATGGTGGAAAAGAGTGAAGCTGAAATACTCACTTTTGTGCCTTTGGTGTAGTCAACCTCAATGATTCTGAATGATAATTAAACAATTTTTATTTTTAAATTATTAGCTCATGACAGACTTCTAAGGTTGACATTACTATTAAGTGTAGATTATTTTATAATATGTACTTAAAGTTAATTGTCCAAATGATATTACCTTTGTATTCATTGCCTTGTCAATAAATACAACTTCCTTTACTTATTCTACAAATAAACACTTTCAACTATAGGTAGTTCATTATTATAATGAGAAATTGTTAAAATTTAGATACTTACAAGCATCTCTCCTTCTTTAACTTGCTTACTTTAATTTGCAGCACTGCATTTAAAAGAAATATATTTTAAAATGACACATATGGAAAACAGCATTAAACTACTGAAATCAAGATCAAGTTAGCAGATGTACTGGAAGCAGAAATGCTCCAATTGTTGAAACACTATTCTGTTCCTTCATTATCTGAAAGATGAGGGGAAACCCAAAAGCATGAACTAACAAAACTGGAAAATGCTGGAGTAAAGCAGCAGGTTTAGTCAGTGTCCATGACAAAAACAGACAAGTTAATGATCTGGCTCTTCAAAAAGTTTTGAACAAACCTTAACTTGTTTGTAGTCTCCAAGAACACTGGCTAGCCTGAAGTATTTTTCCAATATTTTTCTTCCATTGAGCTTTGCTCAATTGTCAACTGTTTACAATTTTAAAATTATAACAGATCTAGTCATTGATGGGGTAATTTTACAACTAGGTAACAGGGTCTACATTGTAGGTGATGCCAATAGTATGAAGCAAACAACTTGAAAAGCTCGGAACAAATACATGATTAGCACTGTAAACGAAACTTTCATGTTTTTCTAATAAGAACCTGCTGTTGGTAGTTAGCTCAAAGTCAAATCGGTCATATTAGCTGTACTTATCTAGTCATCGGTGTGAACAATCCTACACTAGAATGACTATAAACATGGATCAGTGGAAGAGAAAAGGGACAGTTATTAATCCATTGCAATAGCTTTTTTAACCACCAATATGCCTGTCTCTACAAACTGCTGGTCTCCCTATGCAGGGATGATATTAGTAATTTTTAGATAGTTTCTAATCAAACTGTTCAGACATGTTGTCACATACCTCTGGAGCAGGTGAGACGTGGACCTCCTGGACCAGAGGTAGGTACACTAACAGTGGTCCAAAAGAGCCCTCCATTACTAACTCTTATTTCAAGAGTCCATATTAAGTAATTGGTTATCTGAGTAATTGAATCAGATTGCAATGTTGAGCATTTGCACATGTTGTTGGTTTGTTTCTATCACAAATGTTTGTTTATTTAAAACAATTGTGCCTCAGGTGGGTAGTTTATATCAGTCAAATGAGTACCTCCCTGGAGCAGAATTGCCTACGTGTATAACTCAACTTCTGTCTTGGCAGGCAGAAAACATTGAGCAGCCTGCAACATAAATTAGTTTAAAGACACTGGAAAATAATATTTCATACTCTTTTGAGATAAGATAGTTTAAACCGGTTCTTAATGGAAGCATTTGTATTAGTTGTTATTTTGCTGTTTCATTTTGTTTCAACGTAATATATCAATACGACTTACAAAGAGGGTGTGATCACATAATGGTTTGTGCACAGAGGAGGCTATTTGGCCTACCATATCTGTGCTGGCTCTCCATAGAAACAATTCACCTACTGCCAGTCATCTACTTTCTTTCCAGAGCCCTGCACATTCTTTCTTTCAGACAGTAATGCACTTCCCTCTTCAATATGTTGATTGAACCTGCCTTCACCATACTGTCAGACAGGGCATTCCACATGTTAATAAGTCACTTAGCTAAAAGGTTTTTCCTGATCTTGCAAATCACCATGTCCTCTTCTGCTTTTTGGGCCACTTATGATTTTGAATACTCATATCAAAATTCTTCTTGAACTTCTCGTCTCTTAGAGAAAACAATCAAAATGTTCCAAATTTTTTTCGACATAACTGAAATCACTCATCCAGGACTATTCTCTTGATTCCTTTCAACACCCTTTCCAATGCCTTCACGTCCTTCCTAAAGTGTAATGCACAGAATTGGACACAATACTATAGTTGAGGCCAAGGGCAGTGTTCTACACAAATTTAAAATAAGTTCATTGCTTTTGTACTTTATTTCCCTATGAATAGGGTGCTGGGTGTTTTATTAGCCATACTTTCTCAATCTATCCTGCCACTTCCAATTATATCTGCTCTTGCATCCAGTTTCAAACTGTACACTTTATAACTTTTCTCTCCATGTCTTCCTAAAACAAATCACATTTCTCTGTATCAAATTTCATCTGCCACTTGTCTGCTCATTTTATCAAACTGCCTAAATCCTTTTGAAGCTCTACATTATCTACGTAACATTTCAGAATGGTTCGAAGTTTTGTGTAATCACCAAATGTTGACATTATGTCCGCACACCAAGATAAAGGTACATAATATGTACCAGGAATAACAGGAGACCCAACAGTGACACTCATGGAACTCTAGTCTCCAGTCACAAAACCATTCATTAATAGCAATGATAGTATGTTGTTTGCCGTAAGCAGCCCATGGAACCTCAGATGTAAAAGTATTCAGTAAAACAATTAATTATATTCTATTCGCAAGCACAACATGCACAAGGGTGAAAGCTTGTGATCATAACATCTGTGCCTCTGTTTATTGAAAATGCATCTTGCTGTAAACAGAAGAATTGGGAGAGTTTGAATTTGATACCATGTTAATGCTGTGCACACCACAGTACTCATTGTTCTTCAGTAAAAGCTTTGTCAAAGCAAAGTCCAGGTTTGGTCAAGCACTAAAAGCTACAGGGCATGTAGTGATCAAATAGATGCATAATCCAAAATTCATATTCATAGCCCACATGTTTATTTTACATTTTAAAAGAAAATCAAACTGCACCATTACTCACTAGACTTAAAAAAAAATACATACTTAAGTGGATACTGTTCATTTCTAAGCATTCAACACCTGTGGCTTGGGACTGAAAGGGGGTAAAGAAAGTACTTTCTATTCCACTGGGTCAAATAGGCAACTGCAATTAAAACCATATAAAGTGCATTGAATCCTGATCCACACCCAACCAAAGGTATGAGACTGCCCAACAATACAGCTCCTGTATGAACAGGCAACTTGTTTAACAAAGCATTCCAAATTGAAACAACTGCAACCTGAGCCACTAATAAAGGGAAGCAGTAACTCAAGCAGTCAAGTACTGCACTGCGTACAATTCAAATACAAAAATCTTCTGAACCCAAACAAAAAAAATTAAAACATATCTATTGTATAGGAGAGAACTTAACACTTTCCTAAGATGTAGAAGATTTTAAATAATAAAATTCACCTAAAGTGAATATCTTTACGAAGTCCAAATAATTTTTCAAAAATTTAACTTCGCGCAATGTTTAATCCAGGGTCAAGGAAGCAAGTTTAAATTCCTTAAATGAAAAAGTGTTTGTAGCTCTCAATTATCAATATTTCTAGCTTTCTATGTTACAAGGAGTTGACTTCTCCCTGTCAGTAATGTCTGACAACAATTAGCATGAATCAGATATATACTCTGCCGAGATTTAGAAGTTCAAGCCTGACTAATGCTCACTAATAACTATAGCCATGAAGAGATAATGAGATCTCAATATATCCTCGACTTTGAATGCTGCTTTTCCTGGTAAAGAGAAAAGGTTTTCACATGAGACATAAAATATAAACTGGGACAATTGCAGGTGAGCATTGGCAAGAATCGAGATTAGTCATAACCACCAAAAATGTGGGGCTGAATCTTACCATATTTTGGAGAAGTGTCATTTTCATAGAGTTCAATGGAAGGTTTCTCTTCACAAGGTGTAGCAAGTTTTCATGTGCTGTTGTCCTAAACTTGCCTCATTAAGTATCTACTCTGCTACTATGCTGCCTCTTTGATGCTGACCGGATTCTCCCACTTGCTGTAGCCAGTCGTACGTAACACTGTTTGGATATCCTGGGTGCCAGAACCATATTTAAAAGGCTGTGGCACACCTGGCTAAGTGCTGATATTCCAGAGCTGCCCTGCACAGTTACACACATTGTGCCAGGGCTTGGCAGATACAGGCAAATTGGCATTCTGCTCTGCCGACAGGAATTTTGAAGTTTTGGTGTCAAATGTCGGGCAGCCCACCACCTACCTGGGCCCCTTTCTCCATGTCTGCTTTCTATCTGGTGAGTGGTAGAATGAGAACTTGCATATTAATAAGGTGAGATAAGGTAATAATTAGGATGACAATGAGTGATAATCCCCGTAAATGGGCCTCTCACTACTCACTATTGAAAAACTCATCTTGATGGCTGCAACTTTGCTGGAAAATGTGACTCGTTGCTCCTGATAACGAGAAACAGTTTGCTTGACTTCTCACACGATTCTCCCAGATTTCTTGCCATGACCACATAATTCAGGCCTTGGGAATATTTGACCTGGGCACTTTTATTTGTGTGGCCTTCTACAGTGAATTGGGTCAAATGCTTTGAATACCTTCATGTTACATTCCATGGCTGTAGCCCTCCATCAAGTAGGTAGGGTATTCCTGCAGTCTGGCTTGGATGTAGCTTGATAAGAGGGCAGTGGCAAGATGCCTGCCTCAAGAAGAACAGGTAAGCAAACAGGTATGAAGACTGATGACACAAAAACAGGAAGGTGGAGTGTTTCATGCTTACTCCAAAATAAGCTTGCATATTTGGAGAGGAGAAATTTTTGCATTATAGAACAGAAAAGGTTGGCACTGGTCCAGCTGAAGGCTACACATCACCAGCTACCAAACTGCATGCGTTCTTCCCACTCAACTACTTGTGCTGGAGGCAAAAGCCCACAACTCCTGGGCAGATCAGGTTTGTAAAACTAAAGAATTTAAAAAAAATTTTTTTTTAATATTTAAACAGAATTAATTGTCGTTTTGAGTTTATGGTGAGGGTGTATGGGTGCACGCATGTACATACATGTCTGTAGCAACATATACAAAGTCACAAGGGAGGGGGTGAGCATGTGTAGGAAAGCAGGAAGTTGGCATGGGAGACAAGCAGAACATCATCCAGAGTGGAGAGGGGGCCTGATCATGAATGAGCATGAACACGTATGTTTTGAAGCTATTTTTGCGATATAGCTCCCATCGTTAATCTCTCTTCTGCCACAGTGAAATACAAGGAGAAGGACTGTGTAAATACCAAGAAAAATATACAGGGCATCAAGTCTCAAGTCTCTGACACACGTACAGACAGTCTTAGACGCTCAGACAATGCATTACTATCCACTGAAAATTGAAACTTTCTAGATAGA